ACATAGAAAAATAAAAGATCTTTAGGAAAAAACAATTTTTTTTCTTCCAACAAAGTTTATAAGGATATCATGGCGAATAAAGCCAGGTAAACATCACCAATGACCAAAAAAGCTTTAGACGCGAACGAGTTATTGTGTGACAACAACACTGTGAAGACTCATCATGTCAATCGGTCAGATTTTTCTGAGAAACTTGGCTTTCTAGTCAAGATCTTCAGTAAAAAAAAAATTCTTTTTATTTCTAACAAAGTTTATAATGATCTCAAGGCGAATAAAGCAAGGTGAACATCGCTAATGACCAAAAAAGCTTTAGACGCGAACGAGTTAATGTGTGACGACAACACTGTAAAGACTCATTAAGTCAATCGGTCAGATTTGAAAAAAAAACTTGGCTTTGTAGGCAAGATCTTTAGTAAAAAACGGTTCTTTGTATTTTTCAAAAAAGTTTGTAAGGATGTCAAAGCGAATAAAGAAAGGTGAACATCGCCAATTACTACTAAAGCTTCAGACGCGATCGAGTTCTTGTGAGCCAACCAAAGCAACCACGCGAACCACATGTTTTTTTTTTACTTTAAAGAATGATTTATTTATGATCGAGAACGTTTGATTTACGATAAAATTTCATACGTATATCATGCTATTTTTCTGCTCTTGAAGGTCCGTTTGATCTTGATATCGATTTCAATAATGGAGCCGCTGTTTTTTTACAATTCTCATATTTCTCCCAAAATCCAAACACCTTACTCTGCAATCGTCTATTAGCCCTTCTTTGGATTCTGGTCAGCTTCTGGTTAGATATTAATCGTATTTGTACTGTAAAAGCATTTAGAAAATGTTTTCCGTTTACCAGCATAGCCCGGTATTAAGACGGACCAAACGTAAGCGCCTTCAAAAGTGAGCTATCCAAGTGTGAATCGAGAATGACGTTGGCAGTCACACAATAACTCGTTCGCGTTTAAAGCTTTATGGTCATTGGCGATGTTCACCTCGCTTTATTCGCCTTGAAATCCTTATACACTTTGATGGAAATAAAAAGAATTGTTTTTTACGAAAGATATCGTCTAAAAAGCCAAGTTTTCTTTAAAAAAATCTGACCGATTGACATGTTGAGTCTTTACAGTGTTGTCACACAATAACTCGTTCGCGTCTGTCTGTTAGAAGCTTTTATAGTCATTTGCGATGTTTATCTTGCTTTATTCGCAATGAGATCCTTGTAAACTCTGTTGGAAATAAAAAGGATTGTTTTTTACTGAAGATTTTGTCCAGAAAGCCAAGTTTTCAAAAAAAATTTGACCGATTGACATGATAAGACTTTAGAGTGTTGTTGTCGTCACACATTAAATCTCGTTCGCGTCTGAAGCTTTCTTAGTCATTGGCGATATTTACCTCGCTTTATTCGCCATGAGATCCTTATAAACTTTGTTGAAAGAAAAAAAGTGTTTTTTTCCTAAAGATCTTTCACTTTTCTATATGTTTAACTTCTAATAAGTTGTACTGGATTGAAGACCAACTCGCCGACGTCTCTACTCGATTTTATACGTCGGCGAGTTGAACCGTCGGCGACTTGACTAGATACCCTCCCTTGCTGTCTTTGCCTATAGGCAGATTATCTGGTGCCCATCTGAGTCATACCTTTATTAATTTCTTTCTTAACCAAAGATAAGGCACATGCCTGCTTTTTTTGTTTGTGTCCAATGTCCCATTTGCATCAATTTACTTCAAATTTGTGGCTTCACTTGTCAACTGCCACAGCATCCAACCTTTATTAGGTACAGAGGGCCCAAAATCAATTTCTTTTAGAAAACTATGAACTGTTTACAAGAGTCTTTGCAAATTTATTTGTTAGAATTCTTTTGTTCTTGCTGATAGGTGATTATTTTTAAGAGAAGCATTCAAGTAGTCTACTACTAATAGCCAAGGCTATTAAGATCTTTGGTGCAATTCCAATTGGAGGAATAAATTTACTGTTACCTTCTGGAATGTGTTTTTTTCTGCAGTCATATGGCCTGTGAGGAGGATAGGGCAGAAATAGCTGTTACACTGGTTGAAAATGGGGCAACTCTCTCTATAGAAAATAAGGTAATGATCTCAGTACCCAGTGTATCTCACAAATAAAATCTTCAATCTTCACTGAGAAAATTTGCCTGGTGGCTAAAGCTTTTATGCTCACCCAGTTGTTAGACCTTGTGTCCTTAAGTGTTACACAGAGAGGAAAAGTGAAGGTCAATATATCGCAGGATGTAAACCTGCTATGAAATAAGTAATGGTAATAAGACTGAGTGGAGTCCAATTTAGTCTGAAATCATACAAGTGATAACAAAATCAGGCGACCATGCCTTTGTTTATTATTATTATTATTACAGACTGAATTGGATGACATGAACTCTTATTACCAATTAATCATGAAAATTACAATTTTCCAGAACAGAACAGTTTGCCAAGTTGGGAAAGAAAGGGAAAATTTCAATTTCTGTCTTCCAAGATATTGTCATTTTTCAATGGAAAAAATTCTCCATTTTGAAGAAAGCCCCAATTAAGGAGTCTGTGCACTGTTTCTATGGTGATTGAAACCAAGGTTGTGATTGGTTCATTTAAACTACAACTTTGAATGTGACTGGCTGAATTAGACTACAACTTTGAGTGGGATTGGCTTATTGAACTGTCCGATAACAAACTGTCCGCCAACAACTTGACAAGTGAATTAGTGGAAAATAGGAGTTTTTTAAACCAAACATCATAACTTTTTATGATTAGTCAGGAAAACCTGCTCCAATGGTCGTTGAGAATTGAAAACTGGATTATTAAAACTTTTGGTAATGTTGGTGGTTGATGCTGAGTTTTATTTCGTAGATCATTTGTTCATAGCTCATCCCCTTTATCGTAATCTTTCAGATGAAAATGCCACCTGTGGAACTCGCTAACAAGGGACTTGCAAGACAACTAATTCGTTTGAATGACAGCTGACGTCTTCCCGCTCTGTTCGCTCTTTTAGAAGGTTTGGTTTTGATGCTGGGCCTCTCTTGTAGGATAATTCTGTCCACCAGTAGCGGATTGAAGGGTTGTTCAGAGTGCGTATTAATTTTTAGCTTTTAGCCAATGGAAATTACCTCGTCTGATGGTACTTTACAGCTGATATTAAAAGTGATATCTCAGCAGTGAATTTGGCACATTCCTAAAGAGCACAAGTGGTTCATTATACGCAACAAAAAGATCAATGTTTACAGAAGATGTCTTCCTAAAGAGGCCGAATCAGTTGTTGATGTCAAAATGCTAAAAGAACACTTGAGTCCTCTCAGTGCCAGTTTCACTTTGGATTTGGATCCCCTGCGTGGATCCTCCGTCTAAATCCGCTCTGTTTAAAACTCCGTCTAAATCCCGTGAGGATTTCAACTTTCGTCTATCTCCTTGCACTGCAGGCTAACGGATATAGATCACGTGTCCAAATCAAGGAGGTCCTGGAATGGGCATAAATTGCCAGTGTGGTTGCATGATATTGTACCCTCGTAAAAAAATATATAACGATCCAATCGATTGCTCAAGTTTTGAAATGTGAAAACAATGGTATTCCAATTGACAGCTTGACATCTCTTTCTATGGTTAAACTGGTCAGCATGATATTAGTGGAAAGTGTAGCGGCCTTTTTATAATTTTTTTCTTCTTCTTTTTCACTGTTTAATTCTCACGTTATTCTTGGACTTGATAGCACAGGAGACAGACATAGAACTTCTCTAAACATTGTCAGTTCGAATCTATGAGTACCCAAATGTTGTCTACGTAGCGTTAGGTCTCTTGCTTATAACTGGAATAATCGTGTGCGATTCGAATGCCCCTGTAAGTACTCATGCGGTGCCTTAAGGAGGCTCGACCAATCAGAGCGCGTGCATCCCCATTGGGAGACTCTTTCTTGTTTCTCAAAATTCCATGAAGACTTTGACTATACAGAAATTGACTGTATGGTCAGAATTGAAATATGTTTGAGTAACGACTCTAAAAGCGTTGTTTGTTTCTAACAACAGAGGGAAGCATTGTTCGTTTCTATAACAACAAATGCACGGATGCAGCGTAACATACAAGTAAAGTTCTGTTGTGTCTATTTGTGACTTTCTTAACAATGAAAGATGAAAACACCAGGTAATCGAATGTCGATTCTCGCGTTCGTCAAGTCGGTAAAAGGTAAAGCGAGTAACATACAAATAAAATTAACTTGTTGCCTTGCGTAAGGTAAGTGCGATATTTTTAAGATAACAGTCTATTGTTTGTGACTTTTTTCACAGTATTAGTCTGATAGCATCATTTCCCTTAGGACCAAAAAAGGCAAAAATTATGTAGTTGTGCTCTGTTTGCTCCGGCGGTCACATAGATATTTTGATCCGAAGTATATATGAAGAGGGTAAATCTAGCTACAATACGAATACGATCTGATCCAAATGAGTATTTATCCTTGCATTGAGTGTGATGATGAAGTTAGACCACGTCAACAAGCCCTACAGTGCGACGATTAGGGTCGATCATATGGCCTTTCTGACCTTATGATCGATTTCTGTGTAGGAAAGGAAAGCTGAAAGAAAGTGGAGAAGGACGGGTTTACACGAGGACTTTATTGCATTTAAATTTCAGTTGTACAATTCGGACGTATGATGTTACAATCTCAGTCTGAACTACAATTGTTGCCACCCAGGACCATAACTAAGAAAACTTTAGTGATAGATCATTTAGGGCATCTGCTCCTAAACTTTGGAACAGATTGCCATCAAATATAAGAGCAGTAAATGATCTTAATTGTTTTAAAACACTTCTTAAAACACATCTCTTTAGACAGGCATTTTCATGTTTGCTTTTATGGTTCGTTTTTAGTTAGTCATATTGTATATTCTTAGCCTTTTATAGTTCGTTTTCATATTTTATTTTGCCTAGTCTTATTGTATAGCGCATTAGATCATATCCACATGTATTTTGCGCTATGTAAATAATTAATTATTATTATATCAAACGAACAACGCTTCATTTTTTTGTCAGAAACGGAGAACGCTTCCCTTTGTTGTTAGAAACGAACAACGCTTTTAGAATCGTAACTCAAACATATTTCAATTCCGAGCATACGATCGATTTCTGTGTATTCAAAGTCTTCATGGTATTGTTAGAAACCAAGAAAAAGTTTCTCAAGCTTACGAAACGTCCGTGAGTAAGGAACTATTACATACCAAACAAACAACGCTGCATTTTGATGTTGGAAACGAACAACTTTTCCCTTTGTTGTTAGGAACGAACAACGCTTTAAGAATCTTCATGGTGTTGTCGGAAACAAAGAGCGCTTTAGTTATAAAAATGTCTCAACGTTATTGCCTATTAAGAGTCTGAAATTCATATCTTTTTAGTATTTGTTTCTTTGGGGGACTTGACTTTTTTTTCAGGCGACATAACTAAAATCTCGGGCAACATGACTTCGGGCAAGATAACACTCGGGCGACTTGGCTGTAAACCATCGCCAGAGTGATTATACTAAATAATAAATGATAGTAAAGTCCCGTTCAAACAGTCGTGATAATTGATGATAGTTTCAACTATCATGCTCGTTTGTAAACAGAGAATCGTGGACTATTGTCGATTATAAAATAATTCAAATAGTACGCGCGCTCTGATTGGCCATAAAACCATTTTACATGAGCGTATGTAAACACGGTTTTCGTTCCTCTTTCATTAGTTATTTTATAAACTCGATAACCTGGAAACCACTCCACTTCGCGTCGTGGTTTCCTACGCTTATCTCGTGTTCTCCCAAACTCCCGCGTGTTTACATCAGGCTATGTAAACACGGAAACCATTTTACATTTCTTCACTATCATTGACTATCATGTAGTTTACCAATCGCTCTGAGTCCTTTGACGAAGAGCTAACGCGCGCAACGTCAGCTTACAAATTTTTCACGGAGGCTAATTTACGTTATCAACTCAATTGATAAAACTAGATTGCCTTATCATGTAGTTTAGACATATTCAAATTCGACACAATAGTTGATGATAGTTTTTGCCTTTGAACGAGCGGATGATCAGTGAATGATGTTTTTGGGTCAGCAGTTTTGCTAAAAACGGGCTCAAACCGAAATGACAAGGGGTTTAATAGCTAAAATAGTCGTCAAAATTTCCCAGAATTTCTTATAGTTCACTGCCATCATCTCCTGGTAGGCCTCAGTATCTTCAACTCGCATCTTCTTATCTAAAATTTCAAATGCTACCGAAATTGCGGACCTAAGCGCGCGCCATATTTGTTTACAATTATGCGATCTTATTGCGTGATTTTGTCAACTTTCATCAACTGTCATGAACCGTTTGAACGCAAAAACTATTGTCGACTGTCATGACCACCATGACCGTTGGAACAGGGCTTAATTCACCATCGAGGAATGAAATAAAGGTAATGTTGAGTTAAGTTTCGCAATGTAATACTGCAATTTATATATTAGTGAACTATGACTGTGGCCCAGGAGAAAAATTATCTAGAATGTAACGGGTTTTCGGTTGTTTCCGTCTTCAGCTTCTCTGAGTATGTCCTAGTTTATTTTTAGAGTTGAAGCGTAGTTTTCTATTCTTCTCCGAAGGTTTTTGCAGATGCAATCCAAATTCTCCTTATGTTTACGTGGGGTCCATTGATAGGTAATTTACATTGTCCATTCTTATCTGTCATTTGTGAACCCCCGTGGAGACAAAATTACCACATGTAGACTGGCCGAATGAAGTAATTTGGTAGCCAAGAAAACAATAACCTGGTTCATAGAAGTGTCGCCCCTTTGAAGTTCGCATCTGAATCAATCGGCTGGTGTCTCAGTTCTTATCAAACAGAAGTGACTTTGTATCTGTTGATCAGCCTAGATCAGTTTACTAACAACAGAGCTACCATGGAGAGAATTTTTACTTACATAGCTGCGTTGTTCACTCGTCTGCTGTTTTGCCTCCATGCCATTGCCATGATTTACTGGCTGGTGACTTTGAAGCAAGACAGAATGTATTTTCTGTTTTTACTTCTTCTCGTGGCTCTCTTAGTGGAAACAATAATCACTGTGGGATTTCGAAAGGGACATGAATATAGTTGGTAAGTAAAAGAAAACGATCTCAAGCACAAGCCAGCCTAGTAGTACATAGACTGTTTAGTATGCATGTCAGCCGCATCACTAACATACGGCCCAACGAATTTGGGAATATGTTCGCTTCGCTGTATGAATTTTCTTTGCTTCAACAATTTTCCAAAACGAAGGTATAAGCAAATAGCGCTTAAATCATACTTTTTCTTTGCAAAACACATTTTTTAATGAAGTGTGGTTGCCTTGCTTTATCTCAATGCAGACTCGGGAATTCGAATTTCCGGCTTTTTATTCTGGTGGCTTATTTTCTGTCAAGAGAAAAGCTTTGTTAGTCAGCTTTACTAAACATTCATGAAAACTGAAAATCCGCTTTTTTATTAAAGATGGCATGGTCAAACATGCCGAGCTTCGTTTACATTTTATCAAAAACGATTCAGAGTCGAAATAATTACGGAAAATAGCCTAGCACGTTCTTATAGAAAAGCTACAACTTTGTTGAGCTGTGAGCTGAATGTGAACGGTTTTTCTTACGCCCGAGTTGTATCCCCAGAGACTACCATTACAGGAAGTTTGCGAACAACTTGAAGTTTTTATGCGAACTTGTCTCAATCTCTTTTATGGATAAAAAGCTTAAATAAACATATACTACACCATCACAGAGTAAATTACAAATCATTAGAATTCATTGTTCGGTGACTTGGCAACCTGATGTACTGCAACGGCTCGATATTTCTATGACTACTGATGAGTAATCCCCTACTCAGTACCTTTGTTCGGATTTTAAAAAAAATAGGCTCTCTTCACTATACATGATCTAACCTTTGAGTTTAATAGTTCTGAGAAACATGCTCAAGTAATAAAAATATTTATCTATAGGCGGCTTTGTCATTTTGACAGGTGTAAAAGACGTCACTCTGTGTAAAATCAGTGGTAATACCTAAATATATTTGCGGCTGTGTCCAAATGCCCTGCAGCTGGGCACGGTCTAAATGGACAAAATGCCCGGCAGTCAGAATTTCCCCTGAAATATTCTTCCGAAACTTTCATGGGGTGCTAGATGTTTGTTTAGAGAAGTCAAGCGCTTCCAGAAATTATTTCAGTTTTTTTGTGACGAGTTTCCTGAGCTTGTGCATACGGTAACTATAAAATCGCTTGGTCACAGCGAAAAACTTAGCAATTTTACAGTATAAACAAGCTTGGAAAATTCATCCACTTAAAAATTCCAAAGAAATTTTTTAAATCGCTTGACATTTCTAAAGAGACATCTGATACTCTTAAGTAGTTTGAGAGAACCTTTCAATGCAAATTCTGTGAAATTTACTGAATGCCGGGCTTTACTTCATTTAAGACCATACCCGGCTGCCGGGCATTTAGGCACTACAAAAGATTCGAAGTCGCTGTTATAGTATTCATCTAATTTGCAAATTTAGGCAGACACCTGAAGTCTACAAGTAAGAAAACAAAACTATCAATAATGTTAAACTGAGATAGATCTAAGAAACAGCGAATGATCAACAGTCCGGCTATATATCTTAGTCTAAGAGAGAATACTACTGTTAAATCTCGCTAGTCGCAAATTTGCCGCAAATTGTTAAATTGTAATTCAAAAGCTGAGTTCCGAAATGCCGCTGTAATTTTATTGCTTCTCTAAGGCAAGTTTATGTAAATTTCCGGCCCAAAGTAATCTACACACATTAAAAGGCTGTTCTGTTAGAATGTAATGGGCAGGGGGCTACACAGTTCTATAGAAACTGAGAGGCTAACTCTATGAATCACATATTTTTCCCGAAATAGTTTCGAGGAAAACCTATGAATATCGATTTCCTTTTCTCCACACTTTGAGTCCTGATGATTTCACCGAATTCCACGAGTGCTGCGAAACGAGGAAAAAATTAAACAGTCAACTCACACTTCTTACCGCAGTGCACCTTTAAAACAAAATATTCAGAATTTTCAAGGCGTCACTTTAATGACATACCATTTTCGTTATACATGTTATTACAAATTTAAATTGTGAAGCTAGGGAGAGCTTTCTGTGCGGGGATTGTATTCGGTCAAACAAACCACACAAGAACACAAGAAAAAAAAAAACCATGTTTTCGGTTTGAAAGAAAACTCTTGATACACAGGCGATACGTGACCTCTATGAATGAAGTTGAATAGTCCTCTTAATTTCATCAGTTTCCCAAACACCTACATATAGACTGATTTAATTGTAGGCGAGTTATGATGGATGGTATTTCTCAGCTGTTATCTTTGCTTCCTCACATGAGCCTATACGTCTTCACTGGTTTCAGAACTAAACCTAAACAAATACATCTAGAAAATGGCTTTTGTCAGATGCCACTAACCATGCAGTTCACATTGCTGATTGTAGGTTTTGTCCAAGCATGTTTTTATACCTGATGACTATGATTCCCTGTGACTGGATTGCTAAAATAGAAGTGCTTGATTGCGTCGCTTCCAGTAACGATGCAAGTTCAACTTGCATCACAGCTGTCAACGAAACCGAGGAGATCTTTCAGGTTAGTGATTATTCATTGAAGATTAAGCGGAGCCATGAAAATGAGTAGTGAAGCGGCAAAAGGAATAAGAAGCATATGATGGCAATTTTGCTACGAAAAGTTGTTTTGTGATAGGTCGAGTTAGGTTTTAAATAAAGCGCAAGAACTCGACGGATTGCATCGCGCGGTTTCTCCAGTCGAAGCTCCATCTTTTTTATTCACAGCTTCGTTGCCTTCATTTTCATTCAGCGTTCAAAAAACATAAGCTATGCAGGCTATATTGTTAGCATATACCACACAGGTAAATGGTGCTTTTTGCGGTTGGCTAGTTCGGAAGTGAATAGCGAGTACTATTCGCCTCCGAGCAGCCGACGAGACAAAATTGAGCGTCAAGAGTTTAATTTCCGACCATTTTTCGGTTTATTACATCCCTGGTGAGCCTCGCAATCTGATTGGCTCTCCTTTAATCACAAAATTTTGCTCAAAATCGCATCCTTTCCCAGCCAATGAAAAACCTTTACTATATCCAACAACCAATCAGATTTCAAGGAAAATGAAAGAACTTTGCAACTTTTTACCAACCAGCTTACTTCCGAATCAGTAAACTATTTCTACACACTAAAAAATTCCTAAATGTGAGCGACTGAAATTTGCGATTTCAAAATGGATGTGATAATTGCACTTCGTGTCCTGCGCGAGGCGCTCGTTCGATTTTGAAATCACTAGTATGATTTCAGATCAAATTGCACTCCACCCGATTCAATTGCTGTTATATATTGAAAGTAGTAAACTAATTTATTAGTACAAATGATTAAAAGGGGTAAGTTTTTGAAGAAACTGTTGTGCTGAGTTGGTGGGGGAGTATAACAAGATACTTTGGTTTTATCGACTAAGTTGATGATGTAACTCGGCCACCGCAAGGAGCTAAAAAGCTGACGTTTCCAGCGTTGGCCCTTCGTTTATCGCATTGAATCATCAAATTAGTTGATAAAACCGAGTTATCTACTTTTTTTAGTATCTGTGTGGTATATACTAAAACAATTATTCACCTCAGTTTCGGTGAAAGTGGTGGATATATCTAATCTTGTAAAAATATACAAATCAGCAAGCAACACAAAGCGCACGTACTTGACATGATTACCCTTAGAAATCGTGCACCACTGCCATACGTGACATGATTACCCTTAGAAATCGTGCACCACGGCCATACGTGACATGATTACCCTTAGAAATCGTGCACCACGGCCATACGTGACATGATTACCCTTAGAAATCGTGCACCACGGCCATACGTGACATGATTACCCTTAGAAATCGTGCACCACGGCCATACGTGACATGATTACCCGCAACCTTGACTGTTCTTGACATGATCATTGTATGATCTGCAGCCTGATGACGTCCCAAGCGCTGATTTCGAAAATTCACTGTACGTTTTCGGTTAATCAGTAAAGAGATAGTGAGTTGAATGTATGATAATCTATAATATTTGACAAATTTGAGATAACAAAAAGACTTAAAATAGACTTGAGTGAGAAATGGGTGTCATTGTAAACCTCAAAATACTCTATTGATACTAAGTTCATAGCAAAATTAGTTCCCATATCCTTACCTTCCCTGACTCCTACTCACCTCCAGTGAGCAAGGATCCTTAATCAAAGGTCACTAACTGCAGCTGCTTGGTGATTTCAGTTGAGACTGTGATTGTGTTTTGAACTGGATACGTAGAGAAATCACGTGTTCTTTAGAAAGTTCTTCAATGAGCACCCTTTTTCAGTCGCTATAAGTTACCATGCAATAAGATTTTGTATAAACTTTTGTTTTAGTTTTTACAAGGAATAAACATCACCGACGACGAAAGACTACTGTACACCATGGAGCAAGCTCTGGTTCTCATCTTAGTCATTGGCAGATGGCTTCTTCCAAAAGGGGGAATATCACGTGATCAGTTATCCCAACTGTTGCTTATCTACATCGGTACAGCAGCGGACATTATGGAATTCACTGAGATCATCAAAGAGGATGACATCAGAAAAACTAACCCAAAAATGCTTCAGAATCACCACTTTGTCAATGCGGTTATTTTGTTTTGGAGTGTTAGTCTCTTCCAGTTCCCTTTGACCATTTATGCGATGGAAAGATCAGCACAAAGACTCGAAAAAGAGAAGGCTGAGCTGGAAGAGCGGCTCAGAAAAGTTAAAGAAGAGAAAGATTTTAGAAGAAGGAGAAATCAAGTGGCGCCCTCACCGGCTTTGTATATTTATAAAAAGGATCAAAGTCGAGAATACAAAGAAAAAGAAGAAATTCGGGTTAGATATATTCAGACTAAATCTGGACTAGAGATCAAACCTGTAATGACGTCAGTAACAAGCATGGATGAAGAGGAAGCTGCTACGCATGCTTCCCGAGGAAGATGTAATCGATGTTGGAAAAGGTTTACCCAAGGTGTCGACAATTTTGCAGGCAAAATGAAAGATTACACTGAGCTTGTAAGTTTACTTATACCGATGCTTATGCAAGATGGCCCTTTTCTTGTTATTCGTCTCATAGTCATTGCCTATTATCAAATTTACCATGATACTTTGTACTTTCTGACTGTCAAGAATGCCTTGGTTGTTATGCTTCAAGTCTACCGCATCTTCGTTTTGTATTACAAGCCACCAGAAGAGGACATCGATGATTTTTTTCCAGACAGCGATGGTTCTCACAGGCTTAACAATGTACAGACCGCCATTAAATCCGTACAGCACACTCGTTTAGCCCTAAGCCTAGTTTCCAGGCTCCAGCAGCAGGCAAAATGGCGCCGAAAGAGGAGCCTCAACTCTGGTCGTTTTAAAATAAAGCGTCCCTCGCATGATCCCAAAGATACGGACAGTAAGAAAGATGACATGCCTTGAAAAGTGTGTCCGTTTTGTATCTTTATTTTCCATTTTTAATAAGATATCTAATAAAATACTGAGACTGAAGAGTCTCAGTATAGACATTCCCTTTCTACCCACTGGATTCCAACAAAGGATTATTTCTTTCTCTGATTTTGATTTCGATTTCAGGTTTACTTCTACAATTGGATTCAAATTCAAGGGGCGATACTTAGGACCTGGGACCCATAGAAAGCCTGGTGTCAAAAAAAACTGACCGTTTTCGACCAGCATCAGTTTTTTTTTTTTTTTTGTAAATATATAAATCTGTGGTGCAACCGGTTGATCTGCTTATATTGGATTTTGTAAGTTGGAGTTAGTCTGCAATGTGTAACTCCATTACTTGGCCGCTCACGCAAAGTTTACAAATAGCTGCCGCCATGGTAATTATTTAAAAAAATATCATTTTAGTCAAGAATACCTTCTTCGTAGCTCTTAATTTTAGAAATTCGTTTGCTCTCGCTATTGGGCGAGCTTTCTGAAAGATGATTCAACAATCGATGTCTCTCTCGTAGAAGTGGACACTCCAGTTAACTCGAAACTGCCTTAGTTACTGTTATGTCAAAACATTGCATTTCAACCCTATTAAAGCTTGTTGAGTTTGTATTAGTACAACAACAACAAATTTCTTTTCCTTAACAATTAACATACTTTTGGAACAATCCCCGCAAAACAGCGAAGCTAATCGAGAATACGAACCCTTTTACATGGCGCCTCTGTGACATAACACCGCTGGTAAACTATGGCGTTCAACATTCATGTTTGCGTTTGTTTCGAGTCATGAGCTTGGGCTGCCTGTGGTTAGAGAGTAGTGTCACTAACGCGTGGGGATTAATCTTTCGACTCGGCGCTGCTGAGTAATAGTTATATATTTTATGCTCGCAGCGTTTATGATATCAGAAGAAAACGGGAGGAACATCATGAGCTATCACCTTGAAGGTAAGCTGTCAGTATTTAGGAAAATGATGACAAGAATACACAAGTAGCAGCTTGAATCACGACCTTGATTACTTGAATAGATTTCGGAACAAGTCAACGCTTCATAAACTGTTCATAAACCAACGGCAAGACTGTGATTTCGCAAAATTTCCTTCTCGTGCTTTAACAGATCCCACAAAAAAAAAAAAAAGTTAGTAGATAAAAGCACCTCGTATACATTGAACTTGAAGGTTCGTAATGTTGTTAAGAAAGAGAAATTAAATCTTGCCGTTTGCTGTTCGCATAAGCGTGATCCATCACTCTCACGCAACGTGCTAAGAAGCAAAGGCTGGGCGATGATGTCATAGAAGAATACGGATCTTTTATCAACAAATTTATTTAGCCTATGTGCAGACGTGTAAACACTCGGACCCAAGCGTGGCGCCCACCCATGTCATCCATGGGAACGAAAGTTTTTTTAAAAATTAGCAATCCTTATTGATCATAGAAATTACTTCAAAAATGTTCAAAGCCAAAGCGAAACCACGAGGCGCCACTTTCTTTCAACGTTGCGTACTAAGAACCAGCTTTCTTTTTCAGAGGATTTTTCATTCGCTTTTTCTTCCATCTCCAATAGTTCTTCTTCAAAAATTTCTCCAAATATAACGATGTTGAAATTCGGAAACTCGTCACTGTCCATATTTCAAAAGTTTGAGGAGAATTATATTTAAATTTAACAATATGGGATCTTGTAGAGATATAATCCTTAGGGAAGCTACATTGCTTATAATATTCCACAGTTTTACAATGTGAACAAAATATTAAGCTTGAAAAGTATTGGTCTTAAGCGCCGGCAGGACAATAACTTAGCAGCCTGACCGCAGCGGCAACATGAATGATTGTTAAAGATAACATGGTACAGTCGAACCTGTATTCTGCGGCACCGTATTAAGCGATCACCCTGGATTGAGCAATCGGTTGTCAAAGTCGCGAATTTTCCCCCTAAATCACTGCGATTTTCACCTCCATCGAGTGGTAGTGGTCACCTTTGAGTGAGTCCTAACGGCCTGTTTGTATGGTCTTCTACCTGTATTCAACGGTTACTTAAAGTGGAACCGCTCAAAGAAAATTAATAGTAATCTTTCAAGTAAATTTAACCCATGTTCCCCTACCGAGATCAATGTCAAAAGTATTTGTAGGTGAGTTATTGTGCTAATACGAAGTCATGAGCAAAAACGAAGTACATGTTCGTTTCTACTCTATTATGCGGGTAAAAAATGCTAACTTGGGCCTTTATTACGAGCACAACATCGGGGGAGCTCGGATTTCGTAATCGGAAATCTACCCGAGATGACCTCCTTTCGACGGATTTCGGAGTACGCTTTCCGTTTCATTTGCGGTTTGTATTTTTGGTGGTTTCGGCGAGATAACTTCATGTCACGCCACAAGCAAGCTCGACGATTCGCCACAACATCGAAATATTTCGTGTAATGCTAAGCAATTTAATCTTCAGATAGAGCGTCTGATGTTCTGCAAAGTTATTCGACATAACGCTACACCATTTGTGTGTACGCTGTACCATTCTACATTACGCTAAGCCATTTCACTCAACGCTACACCATTTGTGTGTACGCTGTACCATTCGACATTACGCTGAGCCATTTCACGCAGCGCTACACCATTTGTGTGTACGCTGTACCATTCTAGATTACGCTGAGCTATTTCATGCAACGCTACACCGTTTGTGCGTACGCTGTGCTACTCGACGTTACCCTGACCCATTTGACGCAACGCAACACCGTTTGTGTGCTGTATTGCAAAGGAGTGCTAAGCTATTCGCAATTGAGCTAGTCCATCTCACAATTTCATGTTCCAACTCGACATGGGCAACTGGACCGTTTATCATTTGGCTGAACTATCCATGTTTAGGGTGTTCTGCTTCACGAAGGAAAACTAAACCGTCTATAATTTGGCCATGCCATTCCTTTATTAGCTATTCTATCCTGCAGCTGATCTTTAGACCAGCTTTGTATTTGCTAATCTATTTGACATCCTTGTATTTTTGGTGGTGACAGCCGCCCATACATTTAGTCTATTTGAGGCCGTTCTCTGCTGCCGGGCATTTAGCCACAGCCAAACTGAAGAAAGGATACCGGATAAATTGATTGAAAAACAACAAAAAAAATCAAAACTTCTACAAATTAAAAAATTCAATTCGAAAATTCTGAAAGTACAATATATATACAATTAAACCACTATTATTAGAACATAGTCAGCTTGGGTTTCTGCTTTGGCTCAATTGACACCACTGTCTAAAGGCGAGTCAATCTTTCATCACGTGTAGCATAATAAATAAGTATGCGTGAAGCATAATAAATGAGAGTCCTTACAAGACTCTATAGGGTTGCGAACTTTATCGCTGTTAACCCTTTCACTCCCAATATCTAATTAGTAATTCTCCTTACTATCTGCCCTACAATTCTTATGATGTTAGTTCAGAGAATTTGGTATTGGATCAACTAATAATCCCATAATTGATATTCTTCTCTATTCTCATCACCTACCTGCTTGATATTGTATTGATATTGTAAGGAGAAATTCTGTCTTGGTCACTTGTGGGAGTGAAAGGGTTAAACATGCATGTCTTTGATTTGGCAGGGTGAGTATGTTCTTGAGACAAAGTCTGCTGGACGATTAGCACGAGATCTTTCTGCTACTTTCTGGGTTTTACGTAAGAAACAAGGAGATTTTATTGAAAAAAGTCGTTGTGACCAAGCTTTATTTACATGGCTGCACGATTGAAACTCGGTCGATGGAAGCGTGAACGGTGGAAAAAGGAGTCAAATGTGTCAAACAGCACACCTTCCACGCGCTCTGAAGGAAGTGGAACCATCCATGAAATCAGTGGCGTGAGGTCAGTATCTTTCAGCTGTCTGAATCGTACCTCTCTATCCGATATGTGTAACCCTGTGACATCAAGTGTGCATTCTTTCTGACCTCAGTGTGCGTGTTAGTGAAGTGTTTAATTATCTTTGAATCAGAAACTCTGAGAAAACACAGCTGTTTATTCGTCATTCACGCTATTCAAAACCTACAAGGTTAAAAGATCAAGTCTCGCAAAATAAGAGCTTGTTTGCAATGCAAATTTGTAGTCTAAGTAATTAGCGGAGTGTGAGCCTGCCTCAATTATCAACTGAGTATTCTAAACAAAAGAAAAATGTTTAGAAATTAGCGTCTTTGAAGGAATCTTTTGCAGAGCAGGGAAGCAAAAATGTCATCAGAAGACACTAATGATAGCGAAGAACAACGAAAGCGTCTGCGAAAATCAAGAAAACTTGGTCTTTGTCAAAAATTGTCTATTCCGGATCGTGCATCGTACTTAGAGGGGCAAACACCATTTCAGCGGTAAGACCTACAACTTGAGGAGAAGAAATTGTCTATAGGAATAGAAATTGACTGTAGTCATTAAAGAAATTTCGTGATGTGAGTAAAAAATAATCGATCAGATCAATTGCCGTTGTATGTTTTTAAATTTTAATTCTTGGTACCCTATTTCGTCGGCGGCACTTACACTGTTGATCCACAAGCTTCATCTCACCGTGGGATATTGAAATTTAAACCATGTTTGACAGTGTTTCATTCTGTCGAGTCAATAACCACAATTGTAATCATTCTTTTTCCTGCTTGAAATTTCGTTTTGGCTCATTTAATTGGGCCACTTTCGTGTGATTACACTACCCAAGTTGAATACATTGTTACATACGATACGTAAACAATATTTCACTCATGTTGTGTTTAACATTTGTTATGTGAAACATAATTGAGAGAGAAGAATGTAATATGGTTATTACTTTCCTAAAATTGATTTCAACTAACGTTTTTATTTTTTTACCTTGAAAGATCAGGTGACAGCTTGCCTTTAACTGACTTCTTTTCATTGCTTCACTTGATATTTTTTTGGATACAATTAACATTTATCATGCATTGTTAATTTACCTTTACAGTTTTTGTTACATAATCAGCAAAATATCTCATTCCTAATTGGTCAAATGTGTCAAAGAGTGCAGTAAGGGATTTCTCTACTACACCTCTTTAAAATTGAAGCTGTTAATGATAAAGATGATTGCTTAACTCTGAATTGTTCTGCAAAACATGGTGGGTTTGTCACTAGAATTCCATTAAATTACCAATTTAAAGAAAATAGAATTATTCTCCAAGGATTTGAAATTCCTCCAAGTAATGTGCATCTAAGACATAAAGAGAAGCCTTAGAAAAAGTTTTGTTTGAAATATGATAAAAAGTTTGCATATTTGCATTTGTTTGATTTTGCAAGGGAGAATGACACCATACAGTCCATGAATTAAATTGTGGATGGGGAATGTGGGTTCTGGGCTTTAAACCCAAATAAAATATCTCGTGTCTCAATCTTCATGTTTTTAGGAATTGGCATCTCTGCAGTGTTTGTATAGGTAATAAGATGATTTTTAGTGCAATTTGGTGTTAATAATCAGGAGTAAATTTTTCAAAGACCACCAAAATATCACAGAAAGTCATAAGAGAAGTAGTTTTGAATGATATGTCATTTGTGATTTGCACTCATATTACAACTTTTCACTTGTGTTAAATTAAAATTGCACTTGTTTTCAGCCAATCAAAAGCATGTTCATGTTCATTGCTAGCATAGATCTGATTACTTTCAACCAGTTTCAAGTTACCTGACTGTTAGCTGTAGGTTTACCAAACCAGCATTATTTATAATGCATACAATTATTACATAAACTACTTGCAAACTAATTTTCAAACCATATTCCCATGCATAGAAATTAACTTGCTGTTCACTATCTGACTTTAATTATAGGTATAGAGTCATAATGCAAGTTTGATAAAATAATAAGGGGAAATTAAATATTTTGAATATTATTGAGTGGGTTTTCTAAGAAAAGCTGTGCAAAATATGACATACAATTAAAGACTGCCACAATCTTTGATAATCTGCAGAAAAAGTAAAGTTGTCATCACTGTTACCTAATTGTAATCATTGCATTTTCTTAAACCTGTTACATCTTGACATCAGTATGCATATTCTTAATACTGTTCATTATAATAGTGTCAAGGACAATTTTTTTAACAGTTCAGAGCTTCTTGTTGTGTTGTTGTGATAATGTTTGGACAAATTAGATGCTAATCAATTTACAGGATTAATAGTTAGTTAGCAGAAAGTTAAGGTTAAAAATGACTCAAGTAGTGTGATCCTAAAATTTGGATTTGTCGAAACCTGTATGAAGGCATTCACTATCTGCCTTCTCCTGGTTTTGGTCTGCAACCTTTCAAAGGTTTTGCAAAGCTGTACAGTATACCTCTGTTTGGTTTAGATATTTTACAGGAATTTATTCTCAGACCCTATTTGCTGTAAAACTGTAAAACCTAAGAATATTATTCCTTTTGTCTCTGTAATTGTTGATTGCACACAGGGCTAAAAACTTTGATGACAGCTATTTTGAAAAACTCAATTCACTGAACTGGAATGAAAAACAGGCTGAAAACCAAAATATTAAGGTAGGGAGAGAACTATGGTACATGCTGTGTGAATGAATTATTTTTTTGGAATGAGATGTTTAAATATATTTGCCAATGTTGTGTCAAAGCATGGTAAAAGTCTAATGATTTTGGTAATTTTAGTAAAAATATTTGATACTATGTACATGCGTACATATGCAGCCATGACAAACCTTTAGCCTATCTCACTGAAGAACCAATTCCCAACAGCAACCATCATCTACCTTTCTGTAGTTTTCAAAGACAAACATGATGATTAACTGTTGGCTGATAATTCTTGTCAAGTGTTTGAAATTGATTTTTAGTAATTCTTCAATGAGATGCTTCGTGTGAAACAGTTTTGAGATTGGTTTGCAACATACTTGGTTATGAGTTAAAGATACTGGTATGCTTTCCGTTGATCATATTCAAGCATTAAATTTAAGAAGCAATACCAGTTAGATATGAAAGATGTACATGTATGTGCAATTTGTGATCTCCTCTTATAGAGACTCTGTAAATTGTAGATTGTGATAGTGAGACTTCTATAAAATTAATAAACCACAAGTTTTTGTCAGCTAGTTAATGACAGAGCAGATGTTTGAGGGAACCAGTTATCTACTAGTGGAAGAATTAATTAATTGAAATGTACTGATGGTAGCAGGCTGTAGCAAACCAGCAACAGCTGACTAACATGCTCTTTATTGCAACTGCCTTATGAAGAATTTAAGTTGAATCAAGACTTTTGTCAATGGTGACTCAATCTACACCATGAGAAAACAATGAAGTATTCATTAATCAGTATGGTATTTTAACTGCTCTTGTATTTGATCATCCCCATAGGTAGATTATATTATTTTAGTCACTACTCTAAACTTCTTTGAATCAATCCAACTTATAGTGCTAATTAAAAGGTGGCTTTTCATTGTGGTTTGTAGGACACAGTCGCTGATGACAACCTTAATCAATCAGAGGAAGATGAACAAAGTGAGGCAGAGGTGTTATCATCTATTGAAGCTGAACCAACTTTAAATGATAAACAGGTGGAGTTAATTATGTAATACACCAAGATTGATATTTTAATTCTGTGAGTTGCATCAAAATAATGTAGGTCAAAGCAATTTCAAAATTTTTATAAATAACCTGAGTTGGTTTTTTTTTCAAATTAAGAAATGGGTCTTCAGTCAAATTCTCTTGAACCACATATACAAACATTTATTGGACAAGATTAAAGACAATCAATCAATCAATCAATGAAAATGTTGCTTAGACATGTAGCAGCTATAGGAGAATACACATGTAGCAGTTACATGTAGGAGAATGTGATTGATCATTCAGGCATTCATTTTTTGTATGACTGATTATAGAAGAATAAAAAAAAGTAACAAGGTCAACAAGGGCATAAAATTAATCAAATTATACGTAAAAAAAGGCAGGAATTAACATGAATAATCTTCACTGATGTTCAGCAATTATACAGGCACTTGTTCATTACAAATGTTCAGACTGAAATTTTCAACACTGGTAAGAGGTCTTGTTGCTAGCTATTTTTAAAGAGGGCTATACATCACATACTCTGGATAAGCTAATATATAATAAGTAGTGTATTCCATTTTACTGGCCTTGATGTTACAAAAATAAAAGGAATGAAACACTCAAGAAATGGGGGCACGTATGCTTTTTAAAGACACACTGCACCATATTTTATCCTTTAAAACAAATCAAAGTTCTACATGATTCTAAACAGGATGTAGTAGTTTAGTTGTAGTACCTGTACATGTGGTAAGTTTTTTTAGTGTTTGGTAACTTAAATTTATCAACTTGACAAGATGTGCATCGTTTGTTCTTCCAATAGCGAGCTGCATTGTACTGTGAACTATTGTATACTGTCATACACCAGCTCGGAGCACGTGGCAAGACATCCTCTCTCACCCCTGGAGATTTATTTGTGTATGCTCAGGAGGTAAAAGAAGACAATATGTTTTATTATTAATAACTGCTTGGGTGATCATAGGCAATTATTGGATGACTTTGAGTATGAAAGAATTATCCTGAATTGTAATCATGAATTATCAATGCAGATGTCTAGAGGTAGATAACACAGACACAAGGTTTGATTATTCATGATATCATGCAAAAATCTAATTCAATAATTGTTTTATACATTTTCTAAACAATATGTAAAAAGGGACACTTCTCTCTGAGTCTGCAAAAGTTTGAGGACACTGAATAGACTTGGTGAGGCTTGGAGACCAGGCAGACTTTAAACTTGACATGATTATTTAATATTTGCTGTGGACATTGGGTTATTATGTCAACTTTGGGCATTATTGTATATTTACTGTATGCTCTTGACCAATCAGAGTTTTAATTGTAGGTCTAAGAGATTATCATGCTCTGATTGGTTGAAGCTCACATTATACCATGCTAAAATTGCCTCACATGAAGAGATAATAGAAGGGGCACTGAACTTCAAAATGGCTGCAAGCAATTGCCCCAGCCAAGCAGAATTTTTCACTGAATGATTGCCCCAGCCAAGCTTAATTCTTTATTGAACGATTCTTTGTTTGATCAACGAATGTTATAGAATTTAGCAAAGGGTTGTGGCAAAAATGTCGAGACCCCCCTGGAAGCTAAGACCCCAAAAAAGAAAGACCAAAAATGTAGACCCAAAAACAAAGGTTCTTGCTGGAAATCCAGCTGTGGTTTTAATCTTTCTAATGGTAATAGAGCATGCACTCAAACATCAGTTTTACATGTATTCCTTTAATAGGCTATGTTGTATACTTAATTACCAAGCCTTTGATTTGGAGTGAGGTTGAAAGTGACCTTGTTGTGATAGAAGCTAGTACCTAGTTAGCATAATAACAAAACAATTTACATTTGAAAAGCAGCAAAATTGTATCATAAAAAGGTCACCCTTAGCCTCACTCCAGCTAAAAGGCTTGGCAACCAAACACACAACTAGATGGACTATTCTGCTCATTTTTTCACATTGAACTAAGTGCCAGCGAGAATTGTATGAGAACTGATGGATTCTTGTCTCCTTATTTAGTCATAAAAGGTCTTCATCTTTGGATGCGGTGCTATAATGGGACTTTTCCCCGCTGAAACAATGTCAAACATTGACTGGAGAAAAAGAAATTGAAGCCAGGATGGCTTTCATTTGAAAGAAATGTCTCAGTAAAAACTGTTCAAAAGAAAGATCACAAAATTTCTATTGCTGAGCCCTGTTTATTTATTTGGAATTCAACTTTCAATTCAATTTAAACGCAATTTATTCCAGCAGAAACTTTTTCCATACAAGCCTCAAAAGACCTCAAAAATAGTTCTCTAGATAAATCCTGAAAATTTAACATCGGTGTCAGTGACCACATACAAACACTGTTGTGAACAGATCATGCATAACACATCACGAATTGATTCAGAAGTGCTTTAAATGAACTAAGAATTCAAACAAGGCAAATAGCAATGTTTTGCTAGCCCCAACCTTTATATCTGGCAAGTTTTGGACGAATCAGGAGAGCTAGAGAGCATGCTCTTTTCAAAGTTGGCATGTTATTTTGAAAATAAGTTGTCTTTGCTTCTGGGTCTTTGTTTTGATTTGAAAACTTCCTTCTATATGCCATTCATTCACAAAAGTGGACTGTTTACCTTTAAACTCGTCCATATGAATTTTAAATGATGTATTTAAATTATTTTTTTCACATCAGGCCCTAAAAATATCTGAAGAGACACATCGAATGCTTTATGCCAAGACAAAAGAAAGAGAAGTAAGTTGGAGGAAATTCGTGTTCTGTTAATAGTATTTTAATAAATTAATGAGGATACAAGTCAGGTTCACAATCAGTCAGCATTAACCTCGATGCAAGTAGATATCAAGAGGCAAAACCTATAAAACTCAGCTAATAACAGGTCTTAGTCTTTGAAGGTAGGAAACTTGTTTGTCGCCAAATTGAAACAACAACGTAAGGTAGCTTAAAATTTGTGAAAAATTTTCATTATTTCTTTTTAAATCCACTTGTACTTAACTTTCATTTTAATATCTTTTAGCCTCCAACGTGTATCATAAAAGTTGAAGGTAACATTTACAATCAATATTTGATTTCTATGGCTCCTTTCTATGTGTTCCCTCACCTGCAATATTCGGTCACAACCATTACACTTTTCAGTCAGAATGAGTTTGAAGAAAAGGTGTGCAGTCAGTAACAACAATTATTGACTAAATTAAAAAGGAACTAAACTGGTTTTTCTCTGGTAGAAATTGATGACCTCGGTCTCTGGTTGATGATAAATTAGCCCTATGTTAGTTAAGATCTCATTAGTATACTGGGAATAATAAGGGTCATAATAATGTGAATGTATTTTCAATATACCACAAGTTTTTTGCAGCTGATATGATCAATAGTTAACCATTTACACCCTATCGTCAGTATGCATATTCTCCACACTGTTCTTTATACATTTCCTAAGGTACTGACAAGGAGAATTTGTTTGCCAATCAAAAGTTTCCTTCTCTGGAGACCATTTACTTTTTTCTCATGACCTTAATGTGCGATTCAGGAGTGATACTGTAGGGAGAAATTAGATGTTACTCACTCTTAGGGTTTAAAGGGTTAAGGGTCATTATTTCAATTCAGAAATTTCCCTTTGTCTTATGTCTGCAACAAATTGATTACGCTTCTCCCATTAACTTAAATTGAAAATACTTTTACACTTATGACCATTTCAGTTACTCAGATACCTTTCAATGTTTTTATTTGATTTAGTTGTTGAGGCCAGACATCTGGAGGCAAAAGATGCAGATGGTATGAAACTTTAAAAATTAATTCAAGTACTGCGCTGATTTTTTTTTCTGTTGCTCCGGAGCTATTTACATTACTGGAAATAAATGCATAAAAAACATAAAATGCTATTCAAATTTTCTTAATGTTCCAAACTGGAGACATTTTTAGAGCATTTTTTAATATTTTTTTTCAAACTAAAACATGAAAATTTATTGAATTTAATTTTTCTTCAGGTTTGAGTGATCCCTACTGCATGTTAGGGTTAATAACAGATGAAAAGGAAGAGGAGAAAATAAAGAATATCAGAGCACATCGTAGGAAGTCTAAGAGCACAATCCGAGAGGTTCTTGATGGCGAGTCTATGCATATGACAACTGTGAAAGAAAACACTCTAAATCCAGTATGGAATGAAACATTCATGATGTGAGTAGCAAGTGCCATCTACAACTTCATGGAAGCTTTTAAAGTTATTTTTTTTAATAAAAAATAACTCTATGTTAGCGTATAGAATGGTATGTTGCTCGCACCAATCAGAACGCCGCGTTAGGGTATGTATCTCGCACCAATCAGATCACTGCATTAAGGTATGTATCTCGCACCAATCGGAATGCCGTATTTGGATATCTTGCACTAATCACAGCGTTTGGGTATTATGTTCTAGTAAATGATGTAATGGATCAGGGGGCTGTGCACAAAGAATGACATTAACCAGAAATTTTGGGCTCATTTGTTGAGTGTAATGGTTTGTAACCTTCCAGAGAGCCTTGTCGATTAAGGTCGAGATTTATCGGGATATGGAAGGTTTGCATTTACATTTTTAAGCCAAAAATTTTTTTCGCTCCTTTATGCAAAACGCTCACGCCAAACAACTACTATTCCATTACGTACCATAAACAACGTCCAAGTCCAATCAGGACATACCCAATCATTGCACTTCATGAAGATTAGGCAATTTTTCACTTGCTTGAATTGTAGTTCACCAATCAAATTCCATTTTGTCACATTAGACTTCGCTCTATCACGTGTCATTTTCTTGTAAACAACCTGCATTTTATCGCCATTTGAACCCTCTGAAAAAATCCACTTGGAACTAAATGCTAGTGATATTGAATTTTCCACGCAATTCTCCCGCGTTTGACTTTTCTATGAATTAAAGTGGCTTTAAGCTACCTTTGACTTAACCCAATTACGTGTTCATTCCTTGTAAAACTAGACCCTGTGAGCAGGGTAACTGGGATACCTGGATGGTACTGGATCCTTGGAATCAATTGTAGTGATACTACGGGTGTCGTACTAGTATACTGAAATAGTGAGCTCAAGTCTGGCCAAGGGCATACACCTACTTCAAAACATAGGCACGCTATGCATGCAAGAGTTATTTTTTGTAGGGTGGGAGGATTACTTGAAACATTGTAAGTGGTCTACATTCTTATAAAAGGAAAGAAGAGTATTAACGCGGAAAAGAACGAAAATGTCGAATTACCTCACACACAGGTATTTTGTGGTAGATTATGTGTGTTGTGCGAATAAATGTAACCAAAAATAAACTGTATTGATACCACGGATACCTGTTAGTACAAAATGCAGACAGCAGACTGCAGACCGGATACAAAATATAGACTGCAGACTTCAGAGTGGATACAAAATGCAGACTGAGAATCTGAAGAGTTTCTACGTCTGGTATATAATAACATGCCATCTTACAGCTTACCGAGCTAAGACATTGGCATTGCTAACTAAGACATTGCCATACTTGGCATACAAGGCATACAAGGCATACAAGGCTTTCATGGCTTTCAAGCGTTCGCGACTCAATCCGTTCCAAAATTACCGCTCAATAACATCTTTTAGTGTGGTTGGCCGCGAACAATACGACTTGTGTATGCGTCTGTAAGCATTTTGAGCGTTTGCGCCATAATGCTCTAGGTGACCGTAATCCAAACGCGTTCAAATACAAAACGACCGACAAAAGAGTTTTATAAGCAAAAATCTCGTGGTTCGTCATGTGACCCGGCCCTGTCCGTGCATGACAACGTCAATCATCATCAAGATAACATGCGTGATCAGCATGTGAACACCTCATTGGATCACAGTTAGTTGTCATGGTGTTGAGGGCCCAATGACCTCTGGGTACTATTTCGCAATTTTTCCATTTTGTGGCGGAGGAAAAGAAAAAGACGACAAAAAAACAAAGGCATTTTATGACTGGGCTACCATAGGTATCCCAGTAACAACCTGCATTTTATCACGTATTTCATACACAGAGGGCAAAGTCCAAATAGGCAACAACCAATCAAGGAACCTTCTTTGAAATATTATCCTTTTCTCTTGTTCAATGTATCTTCACTTATTCGAGATCGCCGAATTCATCTTTGGTTAAGGTCTATTAGAGGTACAACAGACTTTCAGTTATCTCTTCGTAGTAAAATCACGCGGAATTATATTTTTGAGGTAACTAGCAGTAGACGAATAATTTTGATTTTCTCTGTTGGAAGAACGGCAGTAAGAGTAATCTCTTTCACAACCGTTTTTTGGTCTCGTCACGCAACAAGCGCTCTCTCTCAAACGAGATATAGAGGGCGTTGTGTGACGAGACCTAACAAAGGCTGCAAAGGAGACAACAGTAAGCGTGGCACCGATGCATTTCATTTTTACTCAGAAAGATTTAGACAGTAGAGACAATAGATCACATAATGTCTGTGTGAGTTCAGATAAACTATGGTTTTTTTCTGTCTTTCTGCGATATTTCCGTTTTTGAAAGTTATGCTCTTTTCTCATTTAATACACAAACTGTTCCATCTCAACCCACCCAGCCAAAAAAACAATTCTTGCATGCTACGCATGCCAATGTCATATATGAGGGGATCACTCAAAATTCACCTTGAAGCATGGAATCATTATAAAGCTGAACTGAATGGCTGAACTCAGTAACAATTAAAGTATGAAATTTTCTTATTAAAAAAAATAGCATGATCATTTAGAACACAATAAGTACCTGTACCTGTTTGCATTTCCCCAAATTTCTTCCCTTTCCAACTGTTGGCTTCACAAATCACATTCATGGAATTTTAACAACAACAAAAATTGAAATTACATTTTACAAATTAAGGTAAATTTTGTGAAGTGGTGACCTGCAGGCAAAGCATCTTTAAATTTCAACTTCCTTCTGTTGATGTTTTATTTCCTCTTTGAGCACCAAATTGTGCAAAGAAAGGGCTTCTCATAACCTAACTGTTACAGTTATTTAATGTTACGGCCAGTTACATTGGATATAACAATGGTGGCAAGCAATAGAATCACTTTCCTTGATGTCAGACTTCGTGCGATAAATTAATTTGCCAGACACTGACAAATCACAATATTTTGTATTGGGTAAGTATATTTTCTGGATCTCCGATTGTAAAAAACTTCACAGTAATACAATGCCCTATTTGCAGTTTTGTCTTGGCTTTTGCAGGAAGGTTACCAACTCACAAGAAGAGAAATTGCATCTTGACATCTGGTGAGTACACAATGTAAATATTGCTCGGACTCCCATTTATCCTACTGCTACTCTAACTAAAGTATATAACCCACCTACGCTGGGGAAGTTATTAAAAAATACATTTTTGGTTATACCAATGAAACTTCTGTAGTCTGGACATTTAATGTATGGTAAAACATTTAACAAGGTTATGTGGAAGAAAATTTTTCCTCTCTTTGACATTTCCTTTGGTACTTGTAGCTTTTTTTCTCTGTAGTACTAAAAGATACGCTGTGACTAAATACCCGGCAGTCGGGCACGGTCTCAAATAGACTTAACGGGGGCAGTCACAAATTTTCAAGAATTTCCGCCGAAAGTTTCTTTCAAACGTCTCAGGAATACCTAATGTTTGTTTAGAAATATCAAGCGATTCCAAAAATTAACATGGAATCACTTGACATTCATTAAAAAAACATCTGATAATCTTTAGAAGTTTGAAAGAAGCTTTCGGTGGAAATTCTTTGCAAATTTCCGACTGCTAGGCATTTAGTCGATTTGAGACCGTGCCCGGCTACCTGGTATTTAGTCAAACACTACAGCTGCAGTACTGTGCAAAAGTAATCCAAACATTCGTCGCTAAATATCGCGCTTTGTTCTCTGATATAGCGCCGATATATCGGTGATATATCATGCATTTTATCGATTCTTCAAATCTTTCTGGTGATAGGTCGCTACATATCGCGTCAGCGAGTTTTTTGTTGGCGACAAACGCAAGTCTTTCTTATCTCTTTCAAGCTAAATTTGCTAACTCACTTTTTTTATTGTGTTATAAACAATTTGCTTCTGTGGTCTCATTGCTTCAGTATCATTTACGATAGCGTAGTCAAAAGATAATCGTACTAAAAGCAGCAAATGTTTTTTTTTTGTTTCAAAACATTAAGTGTTGAAGTTTTACAGCATTAGGGAACGAAGCAGACCACAAGGGAAATATTTAGATTGAAAATTTAAATAAATGACGATAGGTTTAATACAAATAATTTTACTGAAGCATTGATCACTGCCTCTAATGGTTAAATAACAAGCACATCAACGTTAAATAACAAGCACATCAAAGGCCATGTGTTAGCTATGCTTTAAGCTTCCTGCTTGAAGTCCTTCATATACACGTTGCAGACTAATAATAGATATTTAAAGGGCGAGCCCATAGTTGCACCACGGGTCTGTGAATAGAACTTTCCTTGGGGGAGGAAATACGTATATGTTCATTTGGGCAGCAGTAAAAAGTGTGACAGTCACTCCATCTTCAGTTGAGAAAAGAGGTTCTTCCTGCTAGCGTCTCATTGTTGGTCATTCAGTGTATAGTGCTTTATCTTGGAACGTTATTAAAACGTGAGTAGATACGAAAATTCTCAAAGGGAAAACAAAGTAGGCAATAGAATTTCACGCTCAGTTAAATTGCAAGCTTACGTACGGTAATAAAAATCAAACACAGCGAACACTCATATAGTATACAAAGTTCAGTGTTCAAAAACAAAACAGAACAAAACAGAAATGATGACCAAAATATAACCAAACTGGCATAACTGTTAAAATTCATACTAATCATGACGGTGTCGGAGATCATGATCATGATCATGCTGAAGTCCATCGCGGCTCGCTCATCTTGGCGATCTCCGGTCATCGCAGTAAAGCAAGCCTCAGAAACTACATCGGCTGCCCTTCGAGTGAAAAAATAAGAGCTTGCTCTGATATCCTTTCCGATGCGTTGTGGAAAGTCACTTCAGTCAATGCAGCCGAGTTTTGAGGCGCTGTCATTCCGAGCGATCTTCATGTTCCGGTGAATTCGGCTGTCGTTCATTCAAAAAACACTCGCCTTGAACAGTTTGTTTTCTACCTTGTCATGTGAAAAACTCGCGTGTTTTTATGAGCCATAATTCGGCTGAAGTTCCCGACTACGTCTCGTGTCTCTCCCTACACTTCTTTCGTGCTCTAGCCGCTTCCTGCGTGCTTTATAGCAGAACAGAGCACAGTCAAGGCTTCTCTATTTGTTAAAAAAAGTCTTTGCATGCAAGTGTTTTTTGGTCTGATATGGATCACGGGGGTCTCGAGGTCTTAGCCACCAAGAACCATTTGGGATGCAAATCTCACATTAGGAGTCTTTGGTTTTAAAAAACCGTATTGCACTCATCGAATTATGTCACTCTCGATTTCAGGGACTGTGATGACAAGGCATTACTTAAGGAAGAAGACCGAAAACTTTCAAAAATAAGAGGGATCTCTGGAATGGGAAGGTGAAATATGAACACTAGAGTCTTTTTCTTACCCTCTGTTCAACTTTCTTTCAGAAATCTAAGTTTAAATTTTACTTGTGGGTTGAAACAATCAAATCTAACAGTTTTGCAGTCAAAGATGCTAGTAATAGCTTGGCCATTTGGCGATTTCCCATTTATTTCTCATTGAACGTAGTGCACTCTGCCACATGTTAATGTGGCTACACACACTAAACTGATTAACAAATTCTTGAATAAGTGTGGACACCTGCTCTTCAGACTTAGGGAAAGATTTAAAAAATTGAACGATTGTAAAAAGGTTTTTTTTCTGGGCATTTTCTAATTTCTTCAGGAGATATTTAATTGTTGAAGGAAATGTTTCTTAGAAAGTGTGAATATGGGTACTGCAACATCTCTCTTTATCTCAGTGATTTTTTTCTTTACAATGCATACTGGTTACATTTTCAGACACTAGAAACAGAAAATGTAACTAAGAATTGTGTAGAAAGAGTCTTATATTGTTTACCAGCAGGCTGTGTGTAGTGAGTCTTAAGGTTAGCGAGTCAATTGCACGTCCTAAATTTCTTCATATACTCTTGGGAATTGCGACATTATGTGACACTTTACAGTTATTCATCTCATCTGTTGATAGGTTTTTCAAAGATGTCATGCAGTCAGCTCGAAAATCAGGAGAGGATGGCAATACTGATGATTTCCTCGGTTACATTGAAATACCAATTAAGGTACAAATCAGTCCAATCCAAACTATTTTCTTTATTACTATTTTAACAATATTTATGTATAATTAGACAGCGGATAAGGAATAGAGAGCTGCAAGAAAGAAAAATAGAGAGAACATCGCGGCAGTGGTAACTGATAGAAAAAGAGGAATACATCCCCCTGCAGTCTATTCCTAATTACATATAATAAGTTGAATTACACAAACTTTGACGCTGTGATTGGTTCTCACTTATGATCTGTGAGAGGAAAGATACATAGATGACCTCACTAATAACAAAAGTTTACTTCTATAGCTATAAATGTAGGAAAATGATATGTGTTAACTGCAGATTGAGAAATAAATATAAGATCGATCTTCGCAGTAATGAACAACAATTAAGCAGTAGTTTAAATAAGGCCTCAAAAGAATTCAGGCCTGCACGGGATTTGAACTCATGAACTCTGCAATACCGGTGCAGTGCTTTACTAACTGAACTAACAAGCCAAGTAGAAGCTGGTCGTTATGTTGCTTCGTAATATATACAAATAAAGCAATATACATTACCTGCTCTCTTGTCGGTTTGTGGATGTATCTTATTTTGAACACACCGGAAGCACTGATGATGTGTTACCTTTCAAAAACTCATGAACTCTGCGATACCGGTGCAGTGCTCTACCAACTGAGCTAACAAGCCAAGTGGAAGCTGGTCATTATGTTGCTTCGTAATATATACAAATACAGCAATATACATTACCTGCTCTCTTGTCGGTTTGTGTATGTATCTTATTTTGAACACACTGGAAGTACTGATGATGTGCTACCTTTCAAAATCGTCAAGTTGGACAAAGTTAAGATTTGTTTCCAGCACTCAGGTCGCATTTTTTAACCGCTCAAATTCCCTACAGCCATTACCACCCTGCAAGTACGCGCAGTAAATGTTCTAAAATAGTTGTCTATTGTATCGACTTGTTAAATCATTGTTCAGTTCAAAGTTCAGTTATTTTAATGTGAACTGTCTGGTAGATGATTTTTTAACGCGTTTTTTTCGTCCAATATTGGATTTGCAGCTCATAAGCATTGGGTACAATCTCTTTCAGGAAATTCCAGCCGCTGGCATTGATGAGTGGTTCAAGCTTAAAGGACGTTCTTCAAAATCTCACGTGGATGGTCACTGTCATCTTAAAATTACCCTTACTACTGGAAAGGTAACTTACCGAGGCCCTGTAATTTCTCTTCAAGGCTGGCAAATTGTCAGAAGTAAAGATTTAAAACTAAAATCAAAGGAAGCATTCACACAAATTGAAAATAATTACTGAACTTCGCACAGACTCCGTTTTTCCCCTTTTCCATTTTGGATTTCTTTGTTCGATTTGTTTCCATTTTAACCAATTTTAATGATTTTTAAGTTAACTACTCCTGATTCGATTAATAATGGTAATAGAACCGAGCGGAGTCCAGTCCAGTCTGTAATCATGTAATCATTTGTTAATTACGAGTATGATTACAGACAGCCACAATTGGACGTCACGAAGTCCAGTTACCAATTAATCAAAACTATGATAAAATTTGAGAAAGAAACTAGACATCGGTTTACGTTTTAACAAACTCGGACGACCGCGAAGCGGGAGCCCGCTTTGTTAATTACGAGTATGATTACAGACAGCCACAATTGGACGTCACGAAGTCCAGTTACCAATTAATCAAAACTATGATAAAATTTGAGAAAGAAACTAGACATCGGTTTACGTTTTAACAAAAAAGCAACAGTTAACTCGGCCAAATACGAGACAACAGCGTGTACATGAAGCGTTCTGTCCACCTACACAGGCATTTCGTGTTAACTGTCCTATTACACTGTCCAGTTACAAGCATGACGCGTACACTGTCCTAGTAGTCGGCTCAAATCGGGCTGGTATCTGTCTGTCGGGCTATATCTAATCATGTTCGAGAGTTTTGTAATATTTTTGATTAATACGGTAATTGCATTATATTGTTTTGCCCATTCTCTCTGCCAGTTTGGCAGAAATTTATTCTTCAACAATATTTCTTCCGCAAAGTTACGGTTGGAATGACCTTTTCATATCGAGTGAATGTGGTTGAACCTTTATACAATAAAAAGTTGGATTGCTAGAGTTAGAAAAAAAGAGAGAAAAGATCTAAAAAAGAGTGTTATTTTTAACCAAAGTCGCGAAGAATGTTGCCAAATGTAGCCAACAGTCTTGTCGGTCAGATTAAGGGATATAGCAATTTATTACTTAGTGAGTTTATGACACCTTTTGTGCAGAGGTGCTAGATACTCCAATGAGATGGGAGATGTTATCATTTGTGGCTTTACAGCACTTGCCATATGAAAGACTCATATTTGAAATTATCAACTCGCTTAAAATTCGCTTGTTACCCTGTTTATAATTATAACAATACACCCTATATATATTGCTGAGATGATCTTACACTCATTTTTATTCTCAAGAAACCTGACATTCCATATGAAATCAAGCATCTTTATCCAACAACCCTGGATATCCATGGTGCGCTTTTAAGAGAATTTATTCATTATGGCTGTGAAAACTACCAGGTTAGCTTTAATGATATTTTTCTTCCTTTATAATCAATTTGTAGTAATGTAAGTGTAAGTCTTCAACATGAGCCATTGGCTCGGGGGATTGGGTAACCACCCCCTACGTTACCGACGTAAAATAAATTGTATTGTAATATCAGTGTGTAGTAATGCAGTAGCTGTGGACTGAATTATATTCCTAACACACGTAAGATAATGGAGAGGTCTGGACCTTTGAAATTGCTTTGCTGCTGTGATGTTATCGCGTTTCAGAGTGGGTGGCATGGCCCCACCTTTACAGTCACGTCGTATCCTTTTAGTAATTACACATTGAAATGAGTTATTAATAACTGAATTTTAGTTTTGAAGATAACGACAATGGTATCGGCAATTATTATTAATGATTCTTACAAAGATTTAGATGAAAAGAATGAGTAAAGTGAAATCTTTGTTTTAAGTATTTTTTAAAGGAAGAATTACATTGTGAATTAAATTGCCCATAAAACGAGCTGTATTTTCCAAACGATTGAAATACTCTTAAAATAATACCTTAATTATCCAAATGTTTTGGCCAAATGAAAGGTCTTACTATTGATATTGTTCTTTGAAAATTGGAACGCGTATATGTTGTGCGAAACGTCTGTGTTTGAACTTTCATAGGACACTGACAGCAAACGAAATTCAACTGAGCTCTGTCCACAAGCGGAGTTCATTCTTCATCAACATGCTCTACAGAATGAGTTAAACGATCTTCAACAAGTCAGCATGTGAGTTATTAGATGATTTTTACAATTTCTTTGCCTTATTCTATTTCTTCTCGGCACAAACGAATGAGGTACCAAGAGATGTTCACATGGGATACATTGGTCGCTAAATCAGAAAGCAGAATTAATATGATTATGTAATATAAACATTTGCTAGGTAGTAAAACCGACCGAAGGGTAATTTTTACAAGTGACCGTGTAAGTCTGTGTAACTGAAAGAGTAATTCCCCGCAAACGACCGAATGAGTGCATAGAACTGACATATTACTATGTTTACAACCGATCGAATTTGTGCATAAAACGAGCAGAATAATTTTTTTGCAACCAAAGGGATTAGCCCGTATACCTGTCAGAGTATTAAGACCAAATGTGTGGGAGGCACAGCTTGACGCGTGAAGTTTAGAACTGGGCGACTATAAATGCGTAAAGACTAAATTTTACAACTGACTGAAAAGACTGTGCACAACTGACAGAGTGATATTTCCAAGTGGCCTTTAAGTTAAAACTATCACTACTATTTTTGTTTACAGAAGAAATGTGATATGAAGAAGCAAGTTTTCAGATCACTTATTTGCATTGATTTATTAAATTTTTACATGTTTTTAGTCGCTGGATGCTTTTCAGTCACCATCACTGGCTTGAGCCAATGAAGTACAGCTCTTTAAACGTATTAGTGAGCACTCTAAAGAAGGAATGGAAAACTGGGGCACTCAGCCAACGAGAGGTACATGTGAAAATGAGTGTAAGGAAAACAAAGTTAGAACTGTGGAACTTAGGTTTAGAGATGCTTTTTTTTCTAGGATGAATTTCAAACTAGTTTCAAGCTCTTTACTTAGCTGAACCCGGACTATTATTGGTTGTAGCTGTGATTGAAACTTGTAAATTATTATGCGATAACCTGCATCTTGCTTCTACATGTTTCAGGAACATTCATTGGTCAAGTCGTTAAAGATATTTACAGATAACTGTTGGAGGTTATTGATAAAATATAGAGACGTTTTCCCTGCCACAGATAAAGGAAAGCTCAGTCGCTTGATAAATTTACTGGAGTAAGTTTATCCTACCATACGAACTCACCTCATTTTTCCATTATAGATCTTCTTCCTGGATGCGGCCACAACCATTGATGTGCTACGTTTCTTTTGTTTGTTTGTTTGTTTGTTTGTAGGTGTTTGTCAAATTTATACAAGCTCGAAGTTTTCAAGAATTCAATTAAGGAACCATTGAATGTTCAAATGTCAAATCTTCTTAAAGTGAGTGAGAGCAGCAATTTATCCGTTTTAGAGGGCATCCTCTGATAAGTTTTAGGTGCTATGAAAAAACTCAGCCTTACAAGTTTTGAACTTCTTTAAAGAAGCTGACTGGCAACTGATAACCTTTAATTGTACATATGTTGTTTACCCCTCTCGGTAACTTTTGATACAGGAATCAGCCCTTGCTTGGTACAAGAAAGTGTATGCATGGAAGGAGCCTCAGACAAAGGTATGTTCCCCAAACTTTTGAGCCTTGATTGTTGTACTGTTTTATCCTTATAAAACCTGCCCATAGCTCGTAATTTTGGGGGTTATCGTTGGTTGCGGGGCAAAAATTGTTTCCGTCAAAATCACACAAATTTCGGACTTGGGGCAAAACCAAACGAGTTTCGTCTGGATCACAGACTTTGCCTAAGTAAAGAAAAAGGTGCGTGCCCTTGGTGCAGTAATGTGCAAAAAGATAAAGCAGAGTCAAACGCAAAAAAAATATTTCAGCCTTATCTAAATAAAATCTAGGCTCTTTTGTCAAGGTATTCCCTCCTAGAATAAAGACACCAACTATGCTCGCCGTGAATTCCTACTCCTTCATCAAAGTTCTCTGTCACCAACCTGATGAAGATGCAACGAGAAGCAGGAAAAGGGCAAACCCATTTTCATTTATTCGTTGGGCGTGTCAATCCTCAATTCCACGGACAAGGATCAGGGTTTATTACACAATTACGAAATAATAAAAAAAACCGCCAGTTTTCGGCAGTTTCGCGTAGAAGAGGAGAGCTTGAAGCTAATATTGACTTCGCATCCAACTGTCACCTGGAACTTCAATTTACAGTCACTATTATTAAACAGAACTGATGTTTTCGACCAAAGCTTATGCAAATTATCATGGGGTTTGAGCTTCCGTCCTCTTTTGTGAAACACTTACTCATAAATCTTACTTTTGATTCTTACTATTCTCCTTACTTTTAATCCTGATCACGCAAACGTGGCCAGCTTGTATCTAATTTCTTCCCCCGTGTCGACTATGCCTTCTACTCAAAACGTAGGTTTGGTTAACTTTGCACTTTGCTTGAGACTAGTAATCGTCCTGATGCATGACGCTCATCTTGTAAGTGGGAATCGGACAGTATTCTTCCACGCGTAAGCCTTCTATGTGAAGGCGCATCGCAAATTTTTTCTTGTGTTTATTATTATTTGTTTGTTTGTTTGTTTGTTTCGATGGAAGAGACCTCTTTTCACTTCCATCTAATCTTTGTTCTATCATTCTGTGGCTTCAACTCACTATTCCTTGATTTCATGCTTTCACCTGATTGTATCTCTTTATGTGGAAACCCTAGGGCCATCTTGTTAGCTATGGGACGCGTTTACGTTGTGATGAATGCCAAACAGCCATTCATGGCTTATTTTCTCACCATTATTTTTCATAGTAAGTTCTGGTAGCATGTGGACAACATGTGGCTTCACTGTACATGCTGTGCACACAATAAGACATGTTTTCCGAAATAAGTTGATTTTGTTCAAAAGAGTGCTTGATTACTTGTTCAGATGAAAAATTTGTATACGGGGTTTTGACCATGCTAAGATTTCGTTGTAAATTTGACTACGTTTATTTTTGCTCTTTAGAACGAAGAGGCTATGCTATCAGCTATGGTGGATGTTGCTGAATCTCTAGTAACAGACATGTTTCAAGCCAAGGCCTGTTACAGAAAGATATTCGCAGTGTTAGTGTTCATTGAAGGTTTAGCTGCGATCCACACAACGCAATTTATGCTTTTAAAGTGTTTGTAGTGGCTCGTGGCAAAGTTAAGATTTTGAAATCTGAAAACCGACAACCTTGGGAAATGCATAGAGAGATCCAATTTCAGTTGACCGAGAACATGCAAAGAAGGTTTTGCACGCCTTTCCCCCTTTAATGTCCGGATCATACTGAAACGCAAACTTGTGTCAATTTGAACGGTTTCGTGAATTGGGTGAAAAGGGCCAGAATAGCAAAATTTTCTAATCCTTTTTGCTACGAATCTTTCGTGCGAGAATAGTCTCTAGTCTCAATGATGTGGCTACTGAAAGGGAATGGAGGCGAATGAATGATACGATAAAACTATCGAGGGGCCATTTTGAAGAAACCAAAAACATAAGTTTCAACTTAATATTCTACCGTTCAGTTATGTTTTTATTTTTTGCACCAGAACGGGAGTGAAGTATTTCACTACAGTTTACAACCAGTTGGAATTAATGGTAAGTGATGAAATTATCCTTTTTCCCATTGTCTTTTCAAAAATGTTGTGGTTCTTGTTATTTAGAGTTTGGTCTCTCGTTTGTTTGTCTGTTTGGCTATATTTTCTATCTTTAATGATTAGGTTATCAACAAATTGATAGATCATGTGTCATAGCGTTTCGAAACTTAAAGCAAGTTAGTATTTCAGTCAGGATCTGGAGAAGCATGAAAAAAAATTGTAGCATTTTCCGCTTCTTCCTTTCAGTTTCTCATAGAACGTATTTAATGTGCGAAGAAAGTGTCGATGACACTTATGTTTTGCGCGTTGTGTCAGGCGTAAAGGGGTCGACTCCTAACTAAGGTCACTGTTAAGTATTTTCCTTTTTGCGTCCAGAAATACTTGGGTAACCCTTTGGTTCAGAAAAAAGTGCCAAAGGTATCGTGAAATCTTCTAATGTTATATATTTTTTTGTTGGTTCTATATTGTTTAGCAGGTAATGTAGTGTTAACAACTGAGTTGAAAACGTAAATTAGCCACCGTAAAGGGTAAAAAAGCCGACGTTTCGAGCGTTAGCCCTTCGCCAGAGCGATTGGAGGAATTGTGGGTTGAAACGTCAGCTTTTTTACCCTTTACGGTGGCTAATTTTCGTTTTCAACTCAGTTGTTAACACTAAATTACCTGCTATACTCTCCCACCGACGCAGCACCACAGTTCCTTTAGAAACTTACCCCTGTATTTATCTATTTTGTTTAGCTTGCATCTGATGTTCACAACACTATGGGGAATGTCAACAAGCGTCTTAAACAGGAAGGTGGCGCTGACATTGTTGGAGAGAAGCTGTTTTCATTATATTTGGCCGTGAAGGAAGTCATTAGTTACCGGAGCATAGGAGAGTCAATGTAAGAAAACAAATCATCGTCAGTGCTCTAGAACTAGTACACTGACACGCTTTAAAGTGCTGGCAAAGAAAGTCCTTTTTCGTAAACTTAATCGCTCTTAAAGTAGAGCGGAAAATGATCTGTGGAAAGATCGATAGCTTTAACTCTTTGTCTAAAAATGGCCCAAATCTTGTTAGCTAAATTTGTTATCGCGAAGATGTGAACACTTCTGATACTGAGACTGAAAGTTATAAAGGACAGCAAGAAGACCACAGATAAATATAAACAAACAAATAAAAACAATACAAATAAAGAGAAGATATCTGCTATAAACACTCTTCTTCGCTTCATTGAAGTTAATTACATAACAAATGAACTAAATTAATCCCACTTGCCCCAGAACTTTTTTCTTTTTTTTTCTATTTTTTTTCAGTTTAATGAAAACTCGTGGTCGAATCGAGAGAAACTTCTAGTTGCTTCGACAATAACCTGCCGCTATTGATGCTGATGTAATATTTCAATTTAAATGTCCTCAACCTTTCTTGAGCGGTCTCCCTTAAATTAAAAGTTATTTAAAGTTCAATACATTTGTCTTTGAAGAAACATGTTCTGTCTGAGTTGCTCGCACCCTCGAAAATACCTTACGGTGGAAGCCCTTTGAACAAGCTTGGTCCGAATGCCATATGATAAACTAACCTCTAACTTGCTCGACCGTTCTGAGAAATGTTTGCACTCGGCCAGAAACAGGCCTATATAACAAGGTTCCATAATCATTATGTTTCAGGCCAGACCATGTGTATGCCCTGGATGACTATCATGGGTGGTTCAAACAGTCTATTTTACGTTGGCTCGATATTGCGCAAGTTAAGGCCAAAGAAAGAATTAAAAGAGCAGTTGAAATTGACAAGGTAAGTCTAGAGGGTTCAATACCGTGTTCCTTTATATTGGGGCTATTTAATGTGGAGTAATGGAAATCCAGGACTAAGGCGAATAAATAATCTTAATTTTTCTGTACCTCAAAGGACTTTTTCTATCCTTCATCTCTCCCGAGCACGTCCCCTCTTTTGCATAATGATGTTACTTCTACCAGTTTTCCCAATGACATAGCGTCATGAATTGAACAATTAAGTATTAGCTAGAAAAATAGCGACTAACAAAACATTTTCTGTTTGATGAGAAATTGTGACGAGACAAAAGTAAAAACAGGGCTGAATTGTAATTGTTCAGGAAGCAGTCAGTAGTTATCTAGCCGGTCATCGACAAAAGTTTTGTCAACCATTATGTGAATTGTCTCCGGCGCCGTGAGGCACATTTCGAAACAAGAAGGTTACATCATAGGACAAAAAAATCTCGCCATTGTTTGTCAAAAAAACCGACAGATGCCCGTTACCATATATTGTTTATTTATTTTATTGTTTATTTTAGCCATGTTTAATTATAATACATCAGAAGAAATAAAAGGAATTACTCATACAGTGATACAATATAATATGATATAATATAATATAAACATAATATAACTAAATATATTAATTGTCGAAAATCCTCAATGGGTTGATGAACCACCATACCTTTACCGGGGGAAACTTGCCGGGGAATCGCAAGCTTCAAACTTCGATAAAGGAAAAAAAATTTTTTTTAACTTTGATCATTTAGATCTTGAGGATTGATGCAAGTGTTAGTCATTCAACTTCAGCCATCGATGGAGTTGGTTGCTTTTACCAGGTATATGAACAGAGTTAGGTGTATGGCTTGTGTCTCTCTCCCCACTTGTTTGCTTCCTTCTTTTTGACTGACTTTGTCGCTGTACATGTAAATCCATTTTTGTTCCTCTTAGATTCGAGAATTCTGGAAGAAGTTGGCTTGGCCGGACCCATCTGGATCCTACGTGTTTGTCATGCACATCACCAACGTAAGTAAGATGCCTGTAAACACTTATGGTGCACTTCACCGAGACGATATGATTAGAATAATACTGTAATCCTCTTTCGGGAGTTTATCAAATGATCTCTCTGATTTAAAAACAACGTTTAAATGGTAGGTACCTAACGTTATACATAAGTGACAAAAAATGAAATTTTATACCACAGCAAATTTGTAGCAGTGGATCATACTACGCTGATCTTCTGTTCGACAAGATGATTAAAAATAACTATTATGACAAGGATCCTTCTCAGTTTGACGTCAGTGAACAGGTATGTTCAACCCGAATCTCTGAATAGATACGCTTCTTTTGAGTCATGTGCTCTGATCAAAAGTGGCCAACAACAATATTCCTTCTTTTTATCGCTCTTCATTCTATCGTTAGCTCTTTTTGTCGTATACTCTCAAAACTGAAGGTTGGCAAATTAATTTCTTTGTCGCTATTGTGATGCCAATGAACACTATTCTATGAAAATAACGTTTCAAAGAGAAATTTGATAACTTACAATATAACTTGAGAAATTTTAACAACCTACACTTCTTTCCTTTGTATGTGGTAATCCTTGTGATCAACAAAATAAGTTGAATGACGAGGCAGCTAACTTCGTGAAACTTCATAGATAGTCCTTTTAAGTATGACGTTTTTGTATTCTCTATTAAAATCTCTCAGTTATGTGTTACCTTGAATAACATTGAATACATGAGACTGTGGTTATCGAAACTGCCTGAGATGCTGGGCTGGGAAGATGTCATTAACGCCTTGATAACAGCGCATGGTGAAAGAGGTGGAAAGCATGCACGCTCAGCTCTGGAAAATATGCTATGTAGTGCAGACGACGACATGCTTAATAAGGTTGCCGATGCTATTGAGCACATTGGGCACCGGGTTCGTATACAGTGGTTCATTTTAACTTTATACTAGTGAAAAGGTGCGTTCTTTCTTCTTATTCAGCGCGTTTGTCGCGCTTGCTCAAAAGTTTACCAGGACGCGTGAAAGGGCCCTTCGCGCTTCCTTGTAAACATCCCGTCAAGCTTTCGTCTTTGAGATATATTCCCTTGCGCTCCATCAAAACAGTGCCCTTTCTTCTCTAAGAATATAGTTTTGTCAGTGCATTCTTCTCGAGTTTTCGCTATCCTTTTGGTTCCTCTCGTTCATATGTATTTTTGTATTTCGTTTTTATCCCTGTTCTTCTGGTAGACTCTTTGATTTTTTTTCCTTGATAGATGGGGGTCGATATCAAGAGATTTGTTTTTCAACTGTGCTGTGCCCCAGAAGACACGCCAGCTGAAGAAGTAAGTTTCATTTATGAAGATTTAGACGAGATGATGATTAGATCCTCAAAGGGATGTTTTTCAGTGTTAAGTTGTTTTAATCAAACCACTAACCCATAGAGTAGGTCAATAACGAGCTCCGTGTCTCCGCAATAGTGACAAAAGCAGCTAATTTGTAGGGAAAAAAAGACATTTTCTTAAATATTGTAAAGTGGATATTCATAGCTGTCATAGGACGCCCTTATTTTTAAAGCATCCTCTTGAAATTGTTTAGATCGCCAAAAATGACAGCGAGGATTATTTCATCGTTTGATTTACTTTCCGCCGTTTTTCTTTAATGTTTTCAGATTTACCGTTATGATTCCATTTAGCTCCCGGGGCGATTATTTATTATTGGTACCTCAAGGGGGGAGGGCGCTTAAACGAAACATGGCGCTTATTCCTTGTTCAGGAATCAGCAATTGCAGTAAGATGAACCGTGGTTAATCTCAATGTACACGTACTCTACCGGTGCTGTCACTAAAACAGGATAGGGTCGCTTATTGGTATATGGGCGCTTACTGGAATGAGGATGCTTTATCAAAAGGGGTACTTATTAGAATCGGGGCACTTATTAACATAATCAAATTCAAAGGAGGCGCTCATAATCGAGGGGCGCTTATCTGAACGAGGACGTTAAATCGAATCATTACGGTGCATTCGTTGCAATTGCGTTCATGGAAAGAAGTGAACGACTATTATTTCGAGCACCTATCCGTTATTCCAGTGGAATTTTATTCAAACAATATATTTTGATTTTGCAGCTGCAACATTCTTGACAATTTGTTTTGGCTCTGTCAATCAGAAGCATATAATCTAGGTTACATGCTTCTAATCAATTCGTGGCGTGAAAATGTCGTCATAGCGAATTTGGAATATTGAATGTTATGGCTAATATCAACTTGACAATTTTTTTGTTGTTTCACTTTAAGGTTGTGGTTCCTTTACTCAAATACTTGGACGATGATCTCATGGTTCTGAATACAAGCGTCGTCAAATCTGTGTTTCACAGGTAAAATGTTCACATCCAGATAAACTGCTTCATATCTGTCACGTCTCGTGGTTTGCATACGGCATGAATTAAGCCCTTTACATGATCATTGGTTTCGCAAGGCAAAAATTACCCTTTTTTTGGTTCTCGTCTTATTTGCAATAATGTTGAAAACGTTCAGTTGGATATCAATCCTCAGAGCTTAGTGTTTAAGATTATGCAGCTTGATATTTCGAAGGAATTTCGTTTCTTCCTTCAGTGTTTACTCGAACCAGGTGAAACTTGGACCAAAACTGTCCAAATTGTCATCTTAACAGAACTGCAAAGAAGCTGCAACGCCAATTCTCGTTTACCATCCTAGTTCATTTCCTTGTTGAATATGGACACTTTTGAACTAGTTGAGAGTTATTCGTGTTCTTGGTTCACAGAATTCTCCATTTCATTTGGGAAATAGTGATTGAAAACTTCAGTAATGGTATTAAAGCAAACGGAGGGGTAAGGTCATTGATGATACATTACAATTTCCTTCTATTTGTTTGATTTAACATGTTTTGCTATGATTCAGTAAGTTATGAAGAGTTAATTATTCTTTTTTCATTAGAGAACTGCGTCCTTCTACCAAAGACAATGCGAAGCACTTGAGGTGAGACTCTTGGCGAGACGTAATCGTGTATCTCTTGCCTCTTTTGGAGAGCTGGAAATATCTTGTGAATTTAATAAGATCATTTTGTTATCTTCCCGTTAACATTTCGTCGCTCGGTAATGTTTGAGATACGCTTTGAGATATGCAATTTCTTCTCTCGTGCTCAACTTGTTACGCGTATGTAAAGTGTAAACACAGCAAAGAGAAATTCCAAAACTCCAATGACTCAAGTAATGTTTTTTTGTACAACTTTACAACTGATTGGAAAATTCTGTCTTTTGTTTTTAGATAGTGCAGAGTTTCTTTTACGCCGATGGAGTTGGGGTTCCTTTGGAACGTCTGCAGCTGGGAAACTATAAGGTACCGTTGAAATATTTACATGTGGCATAACAACAGCTCACTTTTTTACTCTTTAGTTCATTGCATGAACATTAAACGATTTTAATCATTTGTGCAATCAAAATGGTTTGCTATCTCGTGCTTATGGACGCTACCCCTTAGCGGTTGAATAATCAGTGATGTTGAAACCAGAAACCGTTTTTCTTATGAGGCTTTTCCGACAAGCCCGCAAACAGTAACCTACACTGAAGGTGTTACCGATAGAAAAAAACTTCAGACCAAATCTTCTCAAATTGTCCCAAATGTACTGAATTCTTCATTGCTGAATTCTTTTTTCAACACGAGTAAGTTATTTCAAAGCTAATGTACTTTAATCAACTGAGTTGATAACGTAAACTGGCTACCATAAATAGTTTCTAAGCCGACTTTTTGGGCGTTGGCCCCTCGTCAGACCCATGACGAATGGCTAACGCTCGAAACGTCAGCTTAGAAACTCTCCACGGTGGCCATTTAAGTTATCAACTCAGTCAATAAAACCAAATTAACATGTTATGCTCCCCCACCGACGCCGCACCAGTCCAACCAATCTGTTTTAGTCTGGGTACAGCCCAGAATACGACTCAACTTTTGGTGAGTTTTTCCTTAATTGGAAATTCTATAAATGTCGTGACTCCTAACTTTTGCACAGGTTGTGCTCAGTGTTTCAAGCGAACATTGTTACGTTTATTTGAGATTCCAATTCTTCACACTTTTTAGCCAACTAGTCTCAGCATTTCCTTTGTTTCGGAGTTGTTAAAGAACAGCCCATAGATATTGCGAGCTTGCAAACTCACGTGCACTCTACATACTGTTACCATAGCCATATCCACTGGAAACTCGGGACTTTTCCCATAACATTTTGTCTCACCGATCACTCTTGGCCCATGGAGGGGTTTTTGAAGATCGCCATCAACGCCAGAAAAGTGTAGCAAACGTTCCCATAAGCCGCTACCTATTAAGTCTTAGAGTAGTCGCATAAATATCTCGAAACGGGAAAGTTTCTTTAAGAGAATTTCCACGCAAAAATTGTTTCGTTAGATTTTGGTTGAAACCCTCGCCTTACGCAAGATGTCCACAACAGAGTTAATCCAACACTACTTTGCCGAGAGGTGTGGAGAACAGGTACAGTCAAGAGCCTTTTAGATATTATTCTCTCTTTTTGATACATGAAGAAGTAAAAAAAACCTCAAATTCACAGAAAAGCTTTAGTGTGAGAGATCGTTTGTATTTTGAGTTTTTGCCACTGTTATGGAGCTCATTTTTTGCTTTGTTGTGGCTTCTTTGTAAGGAAACTGCCGAAGAGAAATATGGAGCCGTAACATTTAAAGCTTTCTATGATTTTAATAACCAGAAGCTTCAAGTTGAAGGTAGATTATAATCATTTTTTCTTTCCTTCTCATTTAAAGTCATTTTAATCTTCGCCTTCCTTTTCGGCTGAAGGCAAACGCTTCTTCAGAACAGAGAAAAACAAGAAAAACTATTACGGGTCAATAATATCCCAGTAACAATAATATTTGTACACAGTGCCTCTCGATACGTTTTAATCAGATTCGAAAATTTTTTTGCGTGAAAATAAATTTAGTAAGCTTCCACTGTAATATCAAAACAGTGAGAATCTGACAAACCAATAATTTTTTTCGCACTTGTTGGATACGACATTGGTTACGTGTCTTTGTCATCTCACATCCAACGCGCATTTTTGGAATATTTTTCAATCAATGTATTCTCTGTATATTCAGTATCAAGAAACTGGTGGCCTCCTTGACCTGACCAAGGTTTTAACGTTTCTTTTTTTTGTCGCTTGCCCTGCCAGCTTTTCTTCCGTCTAAGATTCTTTTTTTTTTTTTACCCATAAGGAGGAGGGAGGGGAGAGGCAGGCCCCCGGGTCCCTCCCCTAGATCCGCCACCGCAAGTATCAGCCCTAGCTTTCTGCTGATACCCAGTTTTACCTAGGAGTGGAAAGAGGCTCTCTGAGACAAGTGACATAATGACCTGGTCAGGGTAGAACCCGAACCTGATCTGGTCCAGTGTGCTAAAAACTAGATGAGCCTATGCCTAACAATTGATTTGTTATGAGCAGTGCAAACACATTCTTTCTTCTTACAGTGCTGAATGCAAAGAACCTTCCACCACTAGATACTAACGGTAAGTATACCGAGTTTATCTGGACGTTTTGAAGGTCCTACATTTTGACTTTCGATGTTATGCTGTGACTGTGTAGTCTCCGCTTTTCAGTACGGATGAAGAACAGCGATGAGAGGTAATGCCTAACTAAAACCAACCTCTCAATTCAAAGTTCAGCCAAAGTCACTCACTTAATTATCCAAATAATACCGAAGGAGACGAACTGTAAGTATCAGTGAAATAGAAGAGTGTCGTCAGGACAAAAAGTTTGTTTATTGAAAATTTTGAGATTTTTTTGCTCGAGAAGCATTCAGCCTTGAGCTGACCACGTGAAAAAGTAGCTTTTTCAGCCAGTAACGTCGGTTATTCCTGTTTGGTATCCATTGTTGACTTTACCTTTACTGCTTTTAAGCTGTAATTAAAATTAGTAATTGTAAGTTTTTTTTTCTCTTTTTCTATCCTTTTGCATCAGGGCTGTGTGATCCGTATGTGACGGTGGAGCTTTTGCCAGAAGATTTTTACGGAAAGGAGATGAAAAAAACGGAAATCATCAAGAACACTTTGTTTCCACTTTTCGATGAGCAGTTCGATTTGTAAGTACAATTATTACTTGATTTGGTGTTGATTTTACTGATTACTGCCAAACACTTAGGTGTCAAATTCCCTCCTTAAGTGATGTTGAGCCGGAGTTGCTGAGAGAGACTGGTTCCTGTTTACACTTGACCGTTATGGATTATGACGTATTTTCAAATGACGATATTGCTGGTCACGTGTACTTCAACTTGAATAACGTCTGCGGTTTGCGGGAAGTTGTGGAAGGAGGCTTTACTAACGTACCTCAACAAACACGAAATATCTTCCATCCTAAGCCTGGAGGCCGGTACTTTGAAGGTAAGGATTAAGGATTGCAAGACTAAGGTTTTGTTTTAGAATAGTATGGGGCAAAACTGTTATCTTTCCCATACCCAACAAAGTTCCAGGCCCATATTTATTCGTTGTTTCCATAGGTGATGGAGATAATTGCGAGTCGCGCAGAACCTAGACAACAAGATTAGAAATAAAAATCGGTGGATCTTATGCTCTTGGTCTGATCTTTTAGGGACGGTGTCAGTGAAATTTTTGCCTGAAAACGATTATGACAGGGAGCTTAAGCGCAAATGTTTTTGAGGCAACCGAGAGTTGAGAGTTCTTATCCTTTCACCTTTTATGACAGCAGCGTTTGGTTTGAAATGCAATGGTTGGACCTTCCTGCGGATCTGTTAAGCCTGGTTCTCACTAGCGACTTAAGCACATGCGCAAGCACAAGCGCAGGCACAAACGTAAGCTCGAGGTAATCATGCCGAGTGAAAACGAACGTCGTAAGGCATAAGCTTAAGAATCATAGCACAAAATTTTTACTAGTTACAAGGCTTCGTTGATCTCGACTCGGCCGATATGGCGGCAGACACCTAAAAGCGTCGAGTCCTGTTGTTTCTTCTATTCTTGCGACGAAGAAAGCGAAAACGGTTACAAAAGAGGAGAAAAACAAATGCCTTTGGGTTAGGGATCTTTTTTAAGAAAGGAGAAGCTAAGGTGATTTTTACAACCTCGTGGAGGAGCTACGACTTGGAGATCGTGAATATTACTTCAGGTAAGCTTATATACAGAGATGGAAAGTTTTAAAATATTCAATATAAACGGGTAAACTTTGTATGTTTACTTTACTCTCTGTTAGCTCCAGAAAGTTAAGGTGAGCTTTCTGTTTCCCTCAGCTGATTGAATGAAATTCAGTTTTATACAAATTGTCCAAATTGTCATCACTGATGAACTGTTATTTTGGCTTTTACCACCTCAATTGTAGATACTAACGCATGAGCCCAGAAAGATTCGAATATCTGTTGACCCTGGTTGGCCCCTAATTTCCAAGAAGACTACTAAAATGAGAGAGCCCATTTCTGCTGCAGAACGCTTAACCCTCAGTGGGTATGATCAACAATCATTAGCTTTCAGTTACTGCCCTGGCTGGACCACTGTTAGCCACATTCTGAGAGAGACATGCGGTGCAATTTGGAAGGCCCTGGGAGACATTTATGTAAGACCACCAAGTTCGCCTGATGACTGAAGAGAAATTTCAAAGGAATTCGAAGACCTGTGGAATTTGCCTCACTGCGTTGGTGCAATTGATAAAAAACATGATAGTATGAAGTGTCCAAATAAAAGTGGATCTGTATATTACAATTATAAAAGCTCTTTTAGCCTTGGCAATTTGTGATTCTCACTACAATTCTACTTTGGTAGATATTGGTGACTGTGGGGAGAAATTTTACTCTCGATTAATTACTCCAGCCAAGAAAAAAAAGTATTTTGGATATATAGTTTCAACGATTCTTTTCGCTTCTCACCTTAGAAAATAACATAGATTGCAGTAAACTGGCAACTTAACGAAACATTTTAGAATGAAAAAATTTAAGATGTGAGAAATCCTGAATTGAAAGAATCGCATCCACCATTGGTCTTTACATTTCACTAAGGAGGAATTACAAATCACTCATATTACCTTTCGTCATGCCCATTTCCTTGCCAACTTGAGTTCGCGCTTGTGTAAGTCTTTACACCCCTTGTCATACAAGACTCGATAGTAGCGAACAACCTCGAAAAACTTTTTATCAAAGTCTAAAGCGATGTCGTTGAAATGCTCAGGCGTAGGGGAAAACTAGAGCAAGTGCTATAATTGGCCAGAAATAAAGTAGACTTCCTTGCGCTTGTGCGGCGGTTTGTTCTCACTCGGAATACGCGAACGCAAGCACAAGCACAAGAAAAGGTAAAATTTTTTTGATCCTTGTGTTTTAGCTTGCGCTTGTGTTTAAGCTTACGTCGAGGCCTTTTTCACGGTGAAATAAGAACTGTTATGCTTGCGTTTGTGCTTGCGCTTATGCTTGCGTCCCTAGTGAAAACCAGGCTTTAGCGTCAAGGCATGCCATAATCAATACCATTCCTATCCCAGTAATACTTCGCGTCTTAAAACACCTTTGCTTAAGTTCTTTAATGTCACTTTCCTTACCAAGGGGTTTTTCTTTTCAGTTCTCGAGTCACGGGATGACGAAAAGGCTCAACGGTTTGCGAAAGCAGAGATTGACTTGCACGAGAGAACAATCAGCGCACATGTGTGAGGAACCAGGTTGGCCATGACGCAACTTCAGTCTCTGTCTTGTTAAGAATTTAAGCAATACTTCGTCATTTAGCTCACTTGGCCTGCTAACTTTCTGAGATGAACGATTTCAAATCATGTCTACCAAAGAGGTAGCAAGAGCCATCAAGCCCGCAAATGACGTGTTTCGAAAGAGACCAAGCAGAATGGTGTGAAAAGTTAATGTCTCAGTAGATTGTAAACCGTTTCATCTCTTTGTTTATATTTAACAAATAGAGAAGCCTTGACTGTTCTCTGTTCCGTTGTAAAGCACGCAGGAAGCGGCTAGAGCACGAAAGAAGTGCAGGAAGAAACGCGAGTCGTAGTCGTTTTACTTTCAATTTTCAATACAAACTTTATTTCCAGAGCAAACAACTGTGTCGTCATCATGCTCTATTCTCTCACAAAGTACGCCACAATAAGCTAATCAGAATTCCTGTTAGAATGGTTCAAATAATCCCATTGGCTGTACAAGACTGAAGTTGTCAAAAATGTCAAACAATCAAAGTTCACTTTCTGCAATAGTTTACAAACTCAGTAATTCGGCAGGTCAAATTTAACACTTTTGCCTGAAGTCTTTTAGTCTATAATATCCAGCGAAATCCGGTCGAATTGACTGGCTTCAACTCAACGCATCGGAAAGGATATCAGAGCAAGCTCTTAGTTGTTCTCTCAGAGGGCGGCAGATGTAATTTCTGAGGCTTAGTTGACTGCTTTATTTTTTATCATTCCTGTTTTGTTCTGTTTTGTTTTTGAACACGAAACTATATATACGACACGAGTGTTAGCTGTGTTTAATTTTTATTACCGTAAGTAAGCTTGAAATATGAATGTGAAAACCATCAAAATTTGGAATGTCCAATTTGTTTATTCATTGAGGATTTTTTGTCTCTGCTCACGTTATAATAACATAAATTACTGCGCCTGGCATGTTCACAAACCTTTATTTGGTTCATCTGTTGCTATTGGCCGACTTACCTGTTCCGAAATTTCACTCTCAATCAAAGGAAAAAAACTAGAGATAAGTCCCGGAAAAGGTCGGACATAGTACAATTTGGCAGACGGTGTGACAGCTTTAGCTCAGCTCTATACTCTTATAGAGCATGCTCTTTCAACCAACGACAGCGCGCGTTATATCCGAACTTTTTTATGGTAATATATAGACTTGTGTATTACAATTTCTGTTAGAACTTGAATAGAACCTGTGGTTAAAGCTATTCGTTCAACACTGAGTAAAATAAACTATTACAATGTCTTAAAAGAGTAAGGCATCTTCATTAACTAGTAATGCTGCTCACTGTCTTGGTGGTTAAGGCAATGGGCACCTTGGTGCGAAAGCGCAAATACCGTCGCCGAACGAGTCTTGGATATCTTCGAGATGCCCAAAATCTACGCAGCGGGATTATTAAATCCGAAGATGTTGCACGTGGAGAATTAGCCTGATATTACGGTAGTAGCTTTCAACGAACGAGGTTACGTATTCCACGCCAGTCAGAATTCTGCGGAATATTTAATGAATGAGAAAAGGGTGACACGTGTGATAAATCGCGAGCTTTTACTTAAGAAGCTATCTATTTATGGGGCCAATAATTTATCATTAAAGTGGTTTGGGTCATATCTTACCGGAAGGAAACAATATGTGCGTATAAATGGCTGCTGTTCCACCAGTTCACAGTTGTTACAAGGAGTGCCTCAAAGATCGATCTTAGGACCTATTCTCTTCCTATTGTTTGTGAACGACATGCCTTTAAGTATACGTGATTCAACACTAGAAGTTTATGCTGATGATACAACTTTATCAAAAACCTCTAGCTGGGAAATGTCTCTCATCTGACACATGCTCTCAATCAAGATCTCAAACATTTAGATGTGTGTTCGGCACGAAACAAGATGTCTATTAACTCTCAGAAAACCAAGTTCATGCTGGTAACAGGGAATCGTTGGCGGAACCTTGTCGCCTCTACCACAATAGATTTTAACTTAAATGGAAGAGACATTGAACATGTAACTGACTTCAAACTTTTAGGGGTAATGTTAGGTCACGATCTTTTATTAATCGCCAGATTGAGGAGTTATGCAAAAAGTTGGCGAAACGTATGAGACTCCTTCGACACATAAGTCCATATTTAAAATGCAGTCAACGAGACACATACTACTCTGCGATCATTCAGCCTATAATGCTTTATGGCAGTATGATTTGGACTTCTTGCAGTAAAGAAAATCTTTTGAAAGTCCTACGTCTTCAAAAACGTGCGGCAAGAATAATTCTTGATGCCAAAAGAACAACACCTTCTGTCGGCTTATTTAACACCCTAAAGTGGATTCCTTTTAGGCTGAATCATATGTAAATCGATGCACTTTAACTTACAAAAGGCTGAATGGCAATACCCCTGAATATATAAATGATTTACTTATTAGAAACTCTGACACACATAACAGATCAACCCGTTTCTGTAATCTTAACTTAGGTTGCCCTCGATATAAGAGAAGCAAGGAAGGTGGTCGAACGTTTGCTATGAGAGCAACAAAGGAATGGAACAAACTTAGTGTGGACCTCAAACGGAGTACTAGTGTCAAAAACTTTAAGCGTTCCTTTTTTAAAATAATTTTAAATAATCAAATTCTTACGCAATTATTCGTGTAAATTTTAAAATCTGTATATAACCACATTTTATAATCTTATTTTGCCATTTTGATTAATATTAATATTGTTACAACTATTGCTATTAGTTTTTTTTTTTGAGGGCCATCAGGTTATCAGTTTTATTACTGTCACATGTTACCCTCATTAAATAAAGTCCTACCTACCTACCTAACGTAAACCGTAAAAAAGTGAACATAAGCCGTCACTACTGTGTAACATTCTGTACGTATAGTCACTGATCTTAACAGCTTTTTTCACATCAAGCAACATTTTGTTTAGCTTTCTTTGAGATTTACTGGTAGAATCAAACGTCTGAAAAAGGCGCAGCTAATTAGTGAGCATATAAAGGACATCTTGTTGCAGCGATAAGACCACCCCTGATGACGGCACTAGCTGGAGTGTCGAAATGTCAGATTTGAATAGTATCTTCTCAGTTACATTTATCAAATCTCTAAACTAGAGTAGCATCAACTCATCAGTAGTAATTGTCAACCAGATTACCTTGAGAACTTTAATACCTATATTAGGTATCTAGATGTGCCGCTCTCCTCTCCTCTCCTCTCCCTTTTTTTTCAGCTTTAAAATCGCTTAGTCATTACCTTGTTAATCATAAAAATTACAATTTTCTTGATTATGATTGGTTTAAAAAACTCCTATTCTCCACTAATTCACTTGCCAAGCTGTTATCGGACAGTTTGTTATCCGAGAGTTCAATGAGCCAACTCGTGATAAACAAATCGGAGTCCCGCTGCGCCGTCGTCCGATCTTATTTTCACTCGTATGATTATAGCCCAAATTGAACTCTGCTCAGTCCTATCACTACTACTTATTACATAACTTAACTTACAACTAGTTATAGTTCTCAATAGAGCTGCCCCCGCCCTACAGTACCATTTTCTTTTGTTTTTTTTTTTTTAGTTGGGCTTGTTGTTTACAGTTGTGTAATTTTTCTGTTATGTTGTTACGGAATTGTGGCTCAATACTTTGGTTTTAGTAATTTTGGATCTCAAAATACTACAAGTGTACAAAATGTAGTTTTGCGAAGTGCTTGGGATGTTTTTTTTTCTGTAATTTACAATTACAACCAGTAATTTCCTTTCTTTGACTACTGTTTACTTTCAGTTGTGCTGCGAGTCCTTCGCGCCCAATAACAGACTTGCCTCTGACAAATCCAGAAATTGCCGAGTCTTTCGGCTTTGTGCAATAAGCTTGATTTGCGGCGGACAAATCGGAGTTAACCGAGTCTTTCGGTCAAAATGCTAAACTTACACCGTCTTCTGAGCATCGGTGAAATTATTTCTGTATTAACTTCTGTATAACACAAATGAGTCAAGACAGCTTTTAAGCACAAAACAGCACTCTCCGCACCTTTCACACTTTGATGGTCGCGTGGACTCCGACCGAAGAAACTCTAAAACTCTGAGAATAATCCAACATCAAAGCAAACGAGTTAGAAGCTCAACTTTTTCATGTATTTGATATCTGGTTATACTTTAATTATGCTGCAAGTTCTTTGCTTTAAGTTCTCACGTTAGCTGACTGAGCTGTGGACCCTCCGCCGCCTTCGATCGAGACTTCACACAACCGTTTCTCTTTTGACGGATTCTGATCACCTTTTAAACTCAAAACTACCTTTAATTGTTAGAAAGATGCTATACACAATTACCGTTGGACTTAGAAACGCTTCTCGACGCGGACGCTTAACTCGAAATCTCGACAAGGACAAAGCTCGTGTCAAAGACGCCGATCCCAAAAGTCCTCGCGCGCGTGTCTTTTTGCTGGCCGCCCATGACCATTTGCGGGAAAAACGTTGATACCTTGCGGCCGTGCAAGCGATCAAATCGAGATTTTTTCTGGTTATGATCTACCGAAAATACCTACATTCTCTCTTCTCAAGTCTTCCTCTATATTACGCGGGGAGTCCTAAGGTGCCTCCTCGGGTTTTTGGCCCTCTGGGGCCAAAAAACCCTGCGGGGGCAACTACTTGGAGTGGAGAAATAAATAAGATAAAATAAAAAAATTACATGTTAATTTTTCCAATAGTAGTTTTAAAAAAAAGGAAATTTAACTTATGAATGAAACGCAAACGTGTGAATGTTCAATCTCGTGCTAGTTTTTCAATGAATTAAGCTGTTTTAGTTAACAAATGAAGAAACGACTGGAGCACGAAAGAAGTGTCGGGAGAAACAATTTGTGACTACGTCTGGTCTTGAAATGTGATGCCTGGCTAATTTGTAACCAAAAGTGGTTTTAAGTGTTAAAAAGTGTGAAATGGACTGTTGTCTCATGTGGAAATCCTGCGATTTTGGCAAAGTTGTTATAAAACACAGAGTCAAAGAAATGCTTATTTTATTTCATTTTTATATTCTTTTGCATCAATTTATTTCTTTATTTTTTTGCACATTATTCTAGCATAATTCTAGATTCTTTCGCCTCACTATTATGCTGAAATTTATGCTAGCATAATTTTACAGCCCTACCTTCTGATATCTTTGCTCTTTTCAGTTCAGTAATTATTTCGTTGACAGAAATCATTTATTTTCTTAGCAACCGTCGAGAACCAATGTTTTTATTTTTCAAGATTAATTTTTATATCCTATACTAAATGACAAAATTTAATTTTTTTTCTCATAACATGAGCACTAACAACTTTTAAAGTCATCAAATATTACCCGTTGCGGGCACTATATGGAAATTTTGTTTTGATTAAAGCTGGTTAAAACAACACATAATTGTAAATGTTGTTGTGTTTTAAAATATTAAGGAGACCTTTTTTCATATAACGAAGTCTGCATCGCATCAAGGTATTGCTAATAAGTCGTTAGTCGTGCAAAGATAAATCACAGACGAAGGTGAATTCGTATATTTCTTGTCATGAACTGCTTGTTTTCGCCTGTTACCCAAGTAGTCAAGTTTCAGTTGATATTGTTTTGTAATATGACTGGACTGAAAAATTGATTGGTTTCCATCAAAATTTCGAGTCAGTTTTCGTAATCAGCTTCCAACTGTAACATAGTGCGTCTATTTAAAAAAAAAAATACTCCCATCAGGAAATGAAATGTTCATTATGCAAAGTCTGCCATGTTTTGCCATTTACCGTTCGATTCAACTTCCTGTTGTTTTGAAATCAAGCGTTTCCATCGGTCGTCTTAAATAATTAATTGCGAATATCTCGCTTGCGGGCTCGTCCAAAATTTTTTTTTTTCTGAATTCGGTCCTTTGCACAGGGGTAATGAAAAAAATCCACTTTCGGTAATGATCTTTAATACCAAAACAAGAGTTAGGCTAGCCAAGTACTTTCGTGCCCTCCTTTATTTGTCGTGTAATTCTTCCGAAATATTGCCATTATGAATCATGAGGTAAAACGACCTCTCCAGGAATAACAACAGTATTGTATTGCATCAACTCGAAACTGTATTGAGTCTCTAAATGACTCTTCAAATCCTCAAAGAAGGCTAGTTAGGGTGCAAAAATCTGGATGAAATGTAAAGAAAACCTTACTCTAATTTAGCATACGTCGACAAATGCAAATTATTACAGGAATAATTGCCATACCTGGTTTTCTTATAAATGCTTTCCTTTTTAAACATTGACAATAAAAAAACATAGCTCCGTCGCCTGGATCCGGCAATTACTTGTAGATATGAAACTTATTTAGCACGCTTAAGAGTTTACGAGGCAAAACTCGAATGCGAATTGGCAGCATAACCATAGCAAGTAACTTCAGCTTGGTGCGCTAAATGTGCGTTGAATGTGGACTGAAATTCCTCCAGCGCTTCTTTCTCTATATTTTCTGCAGTTTTTTGAAGCATCTTCCCTCGGCGTCGGGAGGTAGGCGAATCCTTGCTCACAAGCAGCTCTGCCTCTTTGAGCTGGTCAGCTTTCTGTTAATTAAAGTAATGACAATTTGTTAAAAACTGTTTATTTTAGAATAAGATCAAAGCTATCATACACCTTTAAATTTCCTTTATCAACGCTGAATTTTCAGTTACTTACTGAATTGATCGATATTCGCTCATTAGAGTTGTAAACAGCTAACGGTTCAGTTTGCTATTTAGTATGAAATTGTAGTCAATTTTTAAGATCATAAAAACTAAATGCTCCAAAATTTGCAGATACAGAATTTGGCAGTTTACTCTGGCACTTTACTTTCCGTCAATGCAATATTTTCAGTATGGAAAATTTATGTCGTTTTGTCATACTTGCTCACTTCACTTTGCGTTATCAGTGAACTGCTCCCGAGATTTCGAGTGTAATCATACCTGCTTTGCTGCCTTTTCCTTGGTTTTTCGCAGCATTTTAAAATAACAAGTTTCCTCTGCAAACTTTGGTGTGTTAGACAATCGCCGCTTTGGTCGCGGTTTTTGTGACATGACGAAAGATTTTCGTGAGACAGTATTTACCAGGAGCTCTTCAAGTGAACGGTTCATCAAAGGCACTCGAACTTGAATGTGTCAAACAGCTGTGTCAGTGAACTGTATATTCTTAGGTTACTGCAAGCGGTGGAAGTTCTATCGTTAGCAACTGTTGTGGAAATTGCCAGGCCAGCCAATACGTTTTGACGTTTGGAGTTTTAAAATGTAAATAGGATACATGTATTGACAGTTGATATGAACAGATGTTGCGTTCGTCCAAATTACTTTGTTTTGTTTTACTTAATTAAGATGTCTTCTTTATTCCATTAAGACGTGAAATGGGTCTCAAGTGATAACTAACTTGAAAACAAACCGTTTCGCCCTGAGAGAAAATTGTGCATCGTAGTCTTAAAGTTTATCTCGACATAACATTATTGTTCCCATGAAATATCGCGTCGGTTTTTTGCAGGGTATTAATTGCAACGAGTCTGTACAGGCAGCATTTGCGCGTAAGGCGTCCCAATGACATGAAAACTAGTTCAGGTCAACTATTACGACATAAAATTCAAATGAAACCCTACTCAGGAGAAGAGTGGGGAATGTATAAAGTATCTATTTTTTAAAACAAAAGTGAGGAACTCTAGTTTTCGATATTCTATCACTTTACCACAGTATGAAGAAGTCTAAAACCGGAACTTTGCAATTATTTTGGTTCTTAACTGAAATAACAAACACAGTAGGGAATTCTGTGGAGAAGGAGCAAAGTTAATTCTATCTTAAAATGGCAATGGTATATATTTTTTTTTCCTTCTTCTTTTTTATGATAAATGGATTTTACGTGAAATGACAATCGAAATTTGACCTCAAAACAGAAAAATTTAGATAATATCAAATTTCTAAGAGTTTGGGTTTTCATCAGAAAGCTATGTATTTACTTTGCACGACAAAGTACTTTTATGCTGAGTTTTTGTAAACAGGTTAGCAGAGTGTCAGTAAAGATGGCAGGATTTGATAAAGATTCTGTTCAATCAAGACCCAATGCTAATCGTTCCATCTCGGGGACCCTGATTAGTATTTTATTTTCTACCGTGGTGAGTCAGATGGGGTTCTACGTGCAATTTAAGGTTTCAACAGTGTATTTCGTACCCCTTTGAACCTCCTTGATACTCCTGCGATACTCTTTATGTTTATTTGTTATAACTCTCTCAGTTTCAAGAAGACATAACAATCTACGGCCAGTAACATGCTTTTGAGAATTCACCTAAGGCCAAATTTAGATACCGTCTGACCTCACTAACTTGGAGTAAAATTCGAATATAGACCCACCCAGATTAATCACAATAGATTTTAATCTTTAAAAAGAAAAAACTGCAGTCGAGCATGATTTCCTGAGCTGCGGTATTTCGGCCTGTGTTAGGAGGAAATCTTGGACGTACTAAACTCACAGTAATAGAAAATAGGAAAAAAAACAGAAATAAACTACAAATGTGGCGTAGATGATTCATTTTTTTCCATCTTACCTTTCAAAAGTAACTTTTTTATTGTGGAGGAAGTGACTTACAACTTAATTTGTTTAAATGGCAATATCTACCAGAAAAATATATCGCTGAAGCCATAAACAACATTCGAAGCGAAATTAACCATTAAAAAAAGAGATGTTATTAACACGTTGATGATGAATTTTGGACTGAAAAAAAAGTGACAAAAACACAACTTGAGTTTATCTTTTGAAGAAAGAAAGACTTCTACTAATATCAAAGAAATAAGTAGAATTAAAAAAAAGTAAAAGGTTCCGTCGATAAAAAAATATTTTAGGAGTAAAATGGCTGCTAGATCGGTCTCCCCCCAAAGTTCCGCAAAACACTCCTAAAACGAGCATACACCAAGGAAAACGCGAATTGCGAAGAGCGTCTTCATTCTCCATGACAAGGAAAACTTACAAAGCCTCCATTCCGATGTTTTTGTGCAATTTGTATCATTACATTTATTCATCCACGATTTAAAAAACGTTATAATTTCTCAAGTGTTTGTGTTGGTTCGTGTGAGTCTCAGCGCATGAAGCCTTACAAGAACCCCTTTTTTGGCTGAGTAACATCGTCAACAGGATTTGTTTGCATTACTAGAACAAGATATAACATTAGTCCAAAAGCGATTAAAATCTCATAAAGCGTGATGATGATTTAAGTTTTCACGGAAGGAAAATGAAAACAGTGGTTATCACATGGCCGGGCATGGATGCGAATTGTATCTTCTGTTATGATGATATCTCTCCAACACGAATAATTCAAATCATATCCACAAGCAGACATGTAAGGCCCTGTTTACTATAATGAATTCTTCAACTGAGTAAACAGAAGCGAACCTTCCCTCGGCCATTTTTCAAAGCGCGCGGGTTTTGTGCAACGGCTCTCGCATGACGTTCTCTTCAGTACGTTCATTCATCATTAGTGAAATTTCGTCGTTCGCGTTGCTGATTGGACGAACGATAATTTTTCACGGTGAAATTTTGTCGTTCGTACTCCTGATTGGCTACATTTAGAATGGGTACGAATTTTATTCACTACGATTTTTGTGGGTAAATCTCAGTACCTATGAAATAAATGTATATGTTTATCGTATGTTTAGTTAAGCAATAATTGTGATTTCGTACACCTTTATTTAAAGATCATCAGAATATGAAACCACCAATGAGGAATAAGCATTTTTTCTTCATCATTTGAGTCATAATTTCTCCCTGCATGGTTATTTTGTTCTTACAAAGAACCTGAATTAATTTTCACTTAAAGGCCCTTAAAATAACAATTTTGTTCATTGTTGACAACTGGCGGAATTGGGTATTACATTCCGGCCAATTACCCTGAGTGACTCTACCGACCTTTTGACAAATCGTTGGTTGAGAAAGTTATGGAAGTGTAATTACTAGTCTTGTCCTGTTAGCATTACATATATCTATAACTGATGGTTTTTCTAATAACTATTCAAGGTATGAAAAGTTAAACGCAGTGTTGTAGTTACGAGCGATAATTGCAAATCAGTAGCTACTGAGCTTTGAAGAAACTCTTTTACTAATTTGAATACACTCGCATTGCATGGACACGAATAAAAAGAAAGTTGTTTTTATGAGTAAGCCGCTTCACTGAGTGAACTGACAATATTCCTTCAGCAGATTTGTCTACCTCCTGATTACTTTTGTGCCTAATTAGTCCTCTACACATACACTACACCAATAACGCCGCTTATAACGTTTTCATAAACTCAGTAGGGTATGTCAATATTGAAATCTGTTGCAAATAATCAGCGTTTCCTCCTTAGTTTTAGAATGTGTTGCAAACAACACCGAGTTCATTCCAAAAAACGGGATTTCCTTTTTCGATTTAAGAATTTTACATCATAAAAAGCTTCGATAGTTAAGTGTGCGCTCTGGCATATTGATAAGAAAATTATATTAATTACATTATCACTATTTACAATGAATCAGCATTTTGGGAGTTAAAAAATTTTAAAATTTATCATAATATTTGTCGTTTGCTTCCATAATTGTGATTGTAAGGACGACATGTATGACTTTTCTAAGCTGCACGACCAAAAATCTCTCAGGGAACTGGCATAATCTTCAGAGAAATACGCAATTCCATCGACATTAATGTGCCTAGGTTACTAAACGAAGACGGAAAAATGTTAAAGGTTTATCCACCTGTCTTGAGTGTGGGAAACATCCATATGTCAGCTTTTACATTACAAACGGCGTTCAACTATCGGACTTTTAGTTGTTATAGTTCCATCATCCAGACATCTCACAATTGGAAATGGGCATCTCTCAGGATTTAATCCTTTTGACTCTACTGGTAACTTTCCCGTTCCTCGGTTTTACATCTGCGGATTTACAGGGCAAGTTGCAGCTGGAGAATTTTCAAAGAACGCACAACGATACATTGTCAGATCTTATATTTTTATTAGACACCTCTGGAAGCTTGTGGTACTACGATCACTCGAGCAGGAGCATGAAAGTTGGCTTCGACGATGAAAAAGTGTTCGTCAACTCGTTGTTGAGCCACATACGAGTCAGTTTGGCTGCAACAAGAGTTTCGATAGTTTTATTTGGCACCAGAGCTACCCTCGATATCAATTACGTGACTGATTTGAACATTAATAATCACAAGTGTAACTTTAAGAAAAGCTTTTACGCTTTGAAATTTCGTTCTGGATTAACCAATATGCACGATGCATTCCAGTACGCTTATGACATCATATTTGGAACTTTAAGTGGCAACAAGCGACCAAATGCGCTTGCTAAAACGGCCGTTTTCCTTCTCACAGACGGAATGTGGAATGCTGGTGGAGATCCTAACAATATTGCTAAAACATTGAAACAAAATAACATTGAGATATTCTCAATTGGGGTGACGAATGGTATCAACGAGAACGTGTTGAAGCAACTTGCTACTGATGACAACCACGCATTTCATTATAATTCTTTTACCCAGTTCAGGGAGCTAGCGAATCATCTGAGAGGAGGTAATTCAGACCCGAAAGGTTACGATACTCACCAAATATCCTGTATACGGAAGGAAAATGTTTCAAGGCCATTCATCGTTGGATCTACCCGAATAAACTAAGATAATTAACCCCCCGATAGGATTATCAAATCAGTAGTGATTTACCGATCGAACACTTGATTAAATACTCCAGAGAAATCATTCAGAACTAGGACTCTCCGACCAAATCTCAAGACAATTTCAAAATTTTTTATTCTAAATTCTAAATCATTTTAATTTTTTTTATTAATGGAGTTGATCGAATGTTTAGCCTTTACATGATAAAGAAAGATTCGTTCCAAAATTCGAACATTCCATATTAGTTTTCTGATAAAACTTACTTTGAAGCGGAAGAAAATGCTAGTTTATACGAAATTTTCTTTTAATCAATATCTTTTCACCCTATTGTGCTGTTCAGCCCTCCTTCATTGATAACAATCTCTAGATAGTGGGCAGATTGTGATTTACCTTTGCTAAGTCTTTAAGCGTTATGTCTGTTAATTTTTCCCCTACCAGATCCATACGAGATAGACTGGGAAATTAATCAGCCAATGAGTTTTTGTGGTTCTTGCGACGGTATAGCTTATTGTGCGTGCGGTCTTCTAAGCGGGGAATATAAGTGTTCTTGCCCTGAGGGTTTATATGGAAGCGGATACACTAACGACTGCCATCGTAAGTAAACGAATCCTTTCACCGGAAATCATAGGTGGAATTCAAATAGGTCGCATGGCATGAATAAAATTCACTAGAATCCCAATTCTTCCAACCTTTAATGGAAAAGGTGTTGGGTTTACATTATCCGAAGGTTTGAAAATCAGTGACATCTAAATTGCACCGTTTCAACGGGAACGAGAGCTCGGCTTTGATTCGAATCATCATGTTCGGGGATCCAGTATTATTCCTTCGAGTGAGTCAGTTGGAACTTCTGAGAAGCATTCGCTCTAGAGACATTCGAATCTAACGAGCAGATCAACTAACGAAAGCTCCATGCTTTTCCAGGGGATTTCGGCGAAGTGCGGATTTTAGTTTTTTGGGGGTGATAGGCGTCCATAGGCACTTTTTGCCAATTTTTTTAAAATCATATTCATTATATTGAAAGGACTAAAACGGCTGATTTATATACGTGGGCTTTAGGCCCACTTTTGCGAAAGAGGTTTATGTTTAAGTCTGTTCATTTCACGATAGAGGCCATAATTTGATCCAGATTATATGTCTGTGAAACCTACAATCCTTGCTTTGCACACTTTGACCGTAAGCAGATTGATAAAAAAAAAAAAAAAAAAAAAAAACTGACCGTTGTAAATTTTGTTTAGGAAGGTATGGTCATGTTGGTGAACAACTTTTCTAGTTAATTATATAAGTTCCGAAAGCTCTCCAACAGGAGATGGTACTCGTGATTATTAAAGAAGGTTCAAGTGAGAAATATTCTGTCTACTTCAAGGTTCTGAATATATGAATGAGGCTTTTGCGATAATGACTAAAATATTGTTGCTTCTTTCGAATATGCTGTTCGCCTTATGCTTTTTAGAGTGTCCCTATTCTACCTACAAAGACTACATTGGTTACGCTAAGTCCTGCACGCCATGTCCTGTCAACTCACGCCATAGCAAGATTGGAAGCACAAAAAGAAGTGACTGCCACTGCATCCAGGGATACGAGGGTGATCCTGCTGGTTATGTGGAATGTAAAAGTAAGTATAGAGCGTGGTGCTGTTTGCGGTCAAAGAGCCTTGTTTCTTATAGGGTGGCCGCTCTCGATAAATCTGATGGAAAATGGAAATTGAGCTGAGGCATCAATCTCAATTGGCTATTATATATCTAGATTATTGCCACTTTTTCCTCTATGTCAGTCATCACGGGATTAAGCTATTCTATCATCAGTCATTTGAAGTATTTAAGCGAGGTTAGGTATTTATTTATTTATTTATTTATTTATCAACTGTGCTCTTTATTTATGCCCTGCTTTACAATGTACTTTCATCATTTTCACGAGTGCGTATTGCTAACATTCACCTTGTCTGTTGTTCATTTGCGCAGTTAAAAAGTGTGACAAACTTCCAGTTCCCTTGCACGGGATGATTAAGGGGGACAGTTGTAACCAGGACTACTTGTCCACCTGTGAGGTGATTTGCAAAACAGGATATGAACTAAGCGGCGATGGACGAAGGACCTGTGTCATTTCTAATTCTGGGGGAGTTAAATGGAGTGGAACTGATTTAAACTGCAAGCGTAAGTCAGCCAGCTGTTAATTTGTCAACCAAGAAATGTTTCCCTTTTTAACTTTGTGCGGAATACCTCCACTGTAATCATGTAAAATACTTTCATACATTTACACCTTGGAAAAGAAAACCCTCAGGAAAACAGAGAGGGACAATTTCAAAACGCAACCCTTGTCCATCATGTGCGTGAGTTGAATTCAAACTGCTAATACATATGCTTTTCCATGGATAGTTTAGTTTTTTTCGCGTGGGGATATAACTTTCCTGCCTAATCAGAATTTCACCTATGAAGCGTGGTGAACGAAATTCATATCAATTTGCTCGCTCTCTGGTAAATGCGAACAATAGGAAAAGTGGGCGAAGCTAGTTAGGGAAAAGGACAAATCTTCCCTCAGCTCCTTTGGCCTCTTAGATTTTACCCAAGGCGACTTTTCTCTTTTTGGTCGTTTCACGAAGACTCTTATTTCTCAACTTTTCAGGAAGAGTGACAGAAATTCTCTTTTTTTCAACGGTGCAACAAAACATGGAAAGCGAGACAGGACGAAAGTCCGCGAAAACGTCAACAGCCTGGTGGAGGCTTTTTTACTTTCGAGTTAGGACAATTATTATGACACTTTTCACTACTTTTTTGACAATTAAGCTTACGAGTAAATGCTTTCTCTAACTAAAAGGCAAAGAAAAGAAATTTGACATTTTTACCAGATTTTGATGACAGCTACCTAAAAATCGCCTAGTTTGTGGCTGTTTTTTTTTCAAATGACCTCATTACAAGTGAAAGATCTAACGCGGAGGGTGCATCTTCACAATACCACATTTGCTCAAAGGGTTTGTTTTCCAAGCGCTGAAATGAATTTGATAGCACAGCGACATGATATATATGTGGCTAGATGGAAGCCGTGCATGATGTACGCAAGTCAACGGAAATAGTTTACTTTTCATGTTCTAAATTTAAGATCAAGAATGGATATTACTGAAAGCGGAAATGGAGAACCGGGAATGGGAAAATGAAATGGGAAATTGAAAATGAGAATTTATTTTTCATTTTTTTTTTCAGATGTACTGTTTATAATGCGGACCATATATGTTTTTAGCGGTGACTATCGATATATATGTTCTCTTTTTAATACCCTCAGAGGCAAAATTTAAGGAGAGGAATGAACTGATGATCGGGAAAGAAGTTACCCTGACGTTTTTCGTTGTCACTATCTGAAACTGAGTGAGAAACGAAAAGGATTACTTTTATTTTGTCAATCAATTTTTCATTGAAGGGAAAAGTTTTTCGCGCGCGATTGTTCCATATGCATCATGTGACCAAATATACCCCTGCTAAAACTTAGGGGTAACCGAAGTTATGATCCATCATATGTTTTTTGCTCGTTAGCGATTGGTTTAAACGCAGCACGTAATCGTACGTCCCCCTGCTAAAAACGGGTGATACGTGAGAAAATTGGGAATTATCACTTACTAAGTGATAATTCCCAATTTTCAAACCGTACGTCTGATACGATAATTCTTCGTTTAAATTTTAGTTCAAGGTGAGGGAACGTTTTGTGGTTGTTACAGAAGAAGGGAGATATTTTTTTTCATAGATTTTGTACCAGAGAACACTCAAATGAAAACCTCCCATGCTGCCTACAATGAGCTGTTCGTAAACATTTTTTCACGCGCGTTGCAAAATATTTGCAGAATAATAAACACAATATCCTCTATTTGGCGCAAAAATGTGTCCGGATATTTGTTCTTGGACATTATCTGATCCTCGATGCTCACAGTTTTTCTCAAGTTTCGCTTTCTGAAAACTGTTCGCATCTTGGAACAGATAATGTCCGCGGACAAATACCGGTTCATATTTTTCGCCAAATAGAGGCTATTGTTATATGTTCCCCAATTTTCAAACCTTCCGTCCACTGTGATAAGTCTTCGTTTAAAATTTAATTCAAGATGAGAAAGCGTTTTGTGGTTGTTAAAAGGGGAGGGACATGTTTCTTTTTTTTTTTATGAAATCGTACAAGAGAACAATGCCAAAAGTAAGCATTCCACGCAGTAAACGTCTAGCTGTTCGCAAACATTTTTTCTCGTAAGTTGCAAAAATACAGTTGAACCTATAGTAAGCAGTCACACATGGAGAATGGCGGGGTGATCGCTTAATACAGGTTGGCCGTTTTATACAGCAAATAACTTGCCTGGCGTTCGTGCGTAATATTTGTTTTAACAGTCCTAAGAAGAAAGATAATCTGCAAGGCACCGAGGGCATTTCAACTCAAAGCACTATCATTGATTCCGGGAGATAAAATATGAATTAAATTTGATTCGAAAGATTATTCTCAGTTTTAATGGAGTTGACGAGAGAACAATACACACAGGTTACTACACTGGTTTCTGGAAGAGATTTACTGGCTGTGTTGCCAACTGACTTTTGGAAAAGCCTGACATTTCAGTTGTTGGTTCGTGTGTAAGAAATAACGACGGGGAAACCTTCGAGCGTAGTTTTCGTTTGTCCGCTTCAATTTATTGTTTATGACCAAATGGAATAAGCATCTTCGATCGGATTAACGGTAGCTTATGCTCACGGACTAACGGCTCTTAGAGTGCAGCAAATATCAATTCGTATTTGCGTCAGCAGAGAACGTTTTGGTGAAGCTGTTTTTTCCCTTGATGAATAAACGGCCATACCGTTTTATCAGAGTATGCCGGTTTGCATCAGACAAATTGTGGCGGGTAAACCATCGAGTGCAGTTGTTTGTTGCTTCAAAGTATCGTTAACGATCAAATGGAAAAAAAAAGAAAAATTGTCAAATAGATTAACGGCAGCTGTACTCAAGGATTTATTTGTGACCGCGGAGGTGGCTTTGTCGAAGCCATTTCTCTTCTGGCTGAAAAGAAAACTGCCTCACCGTTTCACTCATCGGCTGTACGTGTGTTTGCTTTTGTTGGAAGGAAGTGCTTCCGGTTTTTAATTTAATCCTTTAACTCCCAAGATCTGATTGTTAATTCTCCCCTCAAGCTACTACACATTTGTGATTAAAATAGTTACAAGAATTTTGCTTTAAATCAAGATTACAATTTCTACCTGATAAGTTTGAGTATTCTCATTACCCTTTTACTGGATATTTTATGGATATTATAGGGAGAAGTTCCATGTTAGTCAATTGTGGGAGTTAAAGAGTTGACTTATTCTTATTGGTCACCTGCCTATTTCCGGAAATGCAATGAGGTGCAACTTATCAGGGGGTGTATAGCATTTTAACTGTCTTTTTTCGCCCTTCCCTCCGCCACCTATCCCCACCATCCACTCTAACTCCAAATCAAACATGGGCAGTCGGATAAACAATAACGTTAGCTCGCACTACTTAGACACCTGCACCGAGACTGTCCATAAACAATTAGTAATTCTAACCTTGTCCCGCGTATTTTTGCCACAGAGATCGTGTGTCCATTGATCCAGGTGGCTAACGGAAGTCCTCCAAGCGGAACGTGCACGAAGAACGATTTATCATATCAGACAAAGTGCACGTTTAAGTGTGCCCCAGGCTATATTTTACAAGGAACTCCAGTGAGACAATGTCAACAGGACAAGTCTTGGTCAGGTTCAGATGTTGTGTGCGAACGTAAGTAGGGCAAACAGTGGTAAAATCTTACCATAATTATCGTTTATCGGATTTTTTAGTTGTTTATTGTACAAAAAAAAAAACTCTATGTTAGCATGTAGAGTGGTATGTTGCTCGCGCCAATCAGATTACCGCATGAGGGTATGTATCTCGCACCAATCGTATCACAGCATTTGGATATCATGCACCAATCACAGCATTTGGGTGTTGTTTTCTTGTAAACGATGTCATGGAAACAGGAGGCTGTGCACAAAGAATGACATTAACCAGAAATTTGGGATTATTTAAAAAGTGTTATAACTGTGTCCTTTGCAAGAGCCTCGTCGAGTGATGTCGAGATGTACCGGGATCTAAAAGGTTCGCATCTAGTTTTATTGTGTAATTTTTAAGTTTAAACGTGTTTTTCCCGCTCCTTTTCTCACAACGCACACGCTAAACAACTAACATTCCATTACGTACTATGAAAACAAAATCCAAAGTCCAATCAGAACGGACCCAATCATTGCACTACATGAACATTAGGCAATTTTTCACGTGCTTGAATTGTGCCCGACCAATCAAATTCCATTTTGCCACATTAGAAAAATGAAGGCTCCACTACGTAAGAATCAAATAGAAAAATTAATGCTTTTTCATGATGTTTTTTTCACAGCGGTCAAGTGTCCGAAACTAAACTCAATCTCTCTCAGTCAAGTAACTCCACCAGAATGTGTCACCACCGAGCTGCAGTTTAATTCAAGGTGTGTGTTCGAGTGTCCAAAGGGCTACTTATTTGAAGGTACACCAGACCAGTCTACTTTACGGTTTTGTAAGACAGATGGCACATGGACTGGAGAACACAAGCCTTGTGTCGGTAGGTAAATCAACCAAGATTTAAAATCAACATTATATAATCCTTCAACTCTCACTAACATAGCTCCATAAATTTTCACCCTTACAATTTTTTCTTGTTTTTTATAGCACTGTTTATTGATTATTTCATATCTAATAGACTCAGAACCGCCTTCCATAACATGTCCTGCGAACATAAGAACCAACAACAGCCTTCACCAGGATCACGCGGTGGTAACATGGGTAAAGCCTACGTACAGTGACAACTCGATAGGGATTGATCCGCTGGCGAAAGTGACTGTTAGTAGTAATTTTAAGTCCGGAGATAAGTTTCTTATCGGCGAGTATACCATCCAGTACACAGTGACAGACAAAGTTGGACTGGCAGCTAAATGCTCCTTTAAAGTGACAGTAGTAGGTCAGTGATGTGTCCGTTCAGTTGTTACGCTTACAGCCTGTATGGTCCTGGAGTAAGAAGGGTGGACTCTATCAATTGAATGTTCACATCTTATTCTCTAGATGCATTTTTCTATTTTCTGGCACTTTTTTCTGTTCTAATGCATATGCTATCCGTCATCACCCAGTACCGATTATGGCTTCGTTTTTAAACACTTTTCTGTGAAGTCATAGATCTCATTGTTCTAAACTTGAATTTTTTTTTTCTCGGGGGAGGGGATACAGGGAAACATTTTGGATTACCTTCTTTTAGGTCAATTTAGTTCAGTATCAATCCACCTACCAGGAATCTACTCATAGAGTAAATTTTCGTCCCATTTCTATACAACCCCCTTCCTAACAAGCTGGCTGTGATTTTCTCAGATAACGAACCACCCTACTATACGTCATGTCCCGAAGATAAGCTGATTGAAACAACACAAGCGAACGTACGAGTCCCTTGGGTGATTCCCCAATTTCTTGACAACTCCAATAAGACACCGATCATTGAACATAACCGGAATCCTGGAGAAATTTTCTACATTGGAGAGGTGTTTGTGAACTACATAGCAAGAGACCAATCTGGTAATGTCAATGACAGTTGTGCCTTCAAGATCCACGTCAAAGGTAATATAGTGGTAATATAGTAAGAACTTTGTTCCTCAAAACTAAGAGGTTTTTTTTGCCGTTAGAGGCTTAACTGTGATATCCTTGGATCCACACATACCACTTCGAATATTAATATAGAAACACTATCCATCACATAATTAAAGTTCTTCATAATTAATCCTGCTCTTTTTGTCTGAGCTAGAAACGCATTAATTTTCGTCTTGGTAAATCAAGCTGGATACCTTATTGACATTTCTCGGAGTTAACTTAAGAAATTTTTCCTTAACTACAAAGGAACTCTACGTTAAACCTCAGCACTTTACTTTTGAACATTTTTACGTTATTTCTATGATAAATGAAAGGGTTGAAAATGGAATATTGTGGTAGCTTAGCTTGCTGAAGAGAGAACTTTGCACGTTGCAAATAGTTCTTTTGTTTTTTGGTGCATCCATGTGGTTACGCGTAAAAGTAACATGAGGGAAACTAATTTTTAGATATGAAGTCAAGATTAAAGGGGATACAGTTTGAAAATGAATTTATCGGATATTGTAGTTCAAGTATTTTGGTTCGTTTACGTATGGCTACTGGGATGATTTAAAAACTGCGTGTAAGGAGTCATAAACATACTTCAAACTGAAGAATTTCGGATCATTATCTGTCATCGGAGGGGGTGAGTTTGATGTAATCATCAGTCGATAACATCAAGACTCAAAAAACAGACGTATGTTTCCTCATTTGCGTTTTACCTTTGAATTGTTGTATCATCAATCTAATTTAAGTTCTGTTTTTTCTTGTCCTGAAAATTGGAACTGCATGACATGAACCGACTTACATTTTAATCCTGAAAGGTAAGCTTTAAGATAGAAGGCTTCGCGCTGAAGATCTCAGAGAAAAAAGTATAAACAGAAAGTCCATTGACAAATTCCTGCGATATGGATTTTAATGCTTTTCCATAAGGCATCAGTAGAGAACACTTTTCTAAATCACGAAATATGAATGTGTTCACTTGCAGCTAAATCTTGTGAGATGTACCCCGCCCCAATCAATGGAGCCTTAGCTTGTAACGCGTTTGGTGTGAGCAATCGATACTGTCAGGTCAGCTGTAACCAGCAGTTTGACTTCGCGTTTCCCCCCGCCCTCACATACCTTTGCGGTAACGGAATATGGTCAGCAATACCACCTTCTCCTCTGCCATGGCCTGACTGCTCCGGTGAGTAAAACATCAAGAATTAAGAACCGACATTAGAAATATCTAGCGACCTTTTCTTTGATTGAATGACTTTTTTGAAGAAGAATAGAAATTCCTTCTCCAACATGCTTTCGCCTTGCTTACTTAGCTTCTTTTGTTTAGTATTTTATTGTTGTTTTTGTTGCCCTTTTTTTACACTGTTGTTTGACCTATTGGAAAAAGGGAAAGCGATTAAATTTGGGCGTTATCCACCCCCCCCCCCCACCTGAACCGTTGGAATTTTACATGGACACCGAGGTGACGAAATTTTAAAATGTTTTCCAGTTCGTTATGAACCTGGCAAGGCTCGCATGGCTCTTATACCACAGTTCTTCTACTTCGCTGGTGACTGCAGCAGCAAAGAAGCACAAGATCAAATCAAATTAAATTTTGTCACTTTGCTGAACCAACAGTTTATCCCCTCAGCGTTATGCAGAGATCATGCGGATTGTAACGTTGGTAATGTAAACGTATTCTGTGGGGCTACCAGCTCGGCTAGACGTCGCCGAAGAAAGTCTGCTAATGATGTTTACGTCAAAGTTGACATTGTAGCGCAAGAAAAACAGAGTGGAGCCTCAAAAACTGTAACACAACTTGAACAAATATTGGAGAACGACGCAAAGCCACTATTGGATCAACAGGCAAAGTCCCTCGACTGGAGTCCTCTTCGTTCTTCAAGCGATCTTGAATATCAGACATACTCTATTACTAATGCTGAGGCATATTGTTCAGACACTGGGGCTGTTGTAGGAAGATGTGATACACTTGAAACTGGCTGTGATGGGCTCGCCAAACCACACAGTATGTGCCAATGCAACAAAGATACGGGAGCAATTGAACGGTGTAGTAAGTGATAAAGTCAGTTTGTTTACATTTTCTTTTTTTAATCTATATAATTTTCTTTCGTGAATTTCTTGTTTTGCCCTACTTACAGTGTTTTCTGTCGTGATTGTCATCTATTCCCTCTCCAAGTTTTGTATTTAAGAATTCCAATATAACACGAGTTCTAAAAGAAACCATAGAAGCCAGCGAAACCTCATTGTTTGAACCCTGCCTACTTACTTACAACATGTTTCTGAGGGAGTTCCAAGCGTAAAGAGAAAACGTTAACCAAATTTCAAAATAATAGAACATACTTTCGTTGTAGTAACATCTTGCAATACGGGTTCGTAAGAATGTAACATTATAGTGTTATTTTTCCACCATCTTTAGTTCGCTGTCCGAAAGGGACATACTATGACCTAGTACATGAGAAGTGTACCAGGTGTTCACCAGGGACCTACCAAAATCAAGAGGGAAGATTTGAGTGTTCTGAGTGCCCAGAAGGAACCTACACTTTAGGCGAGGATTCAAAGAACTTTACTGCATGTAGAGGTATTGATGAAAATAGAAATAAAAATCCACTTATGAGAATGATGATGGTGAATATGATAATAATGATAATTATTATTATTATGTTCGACTTAGAACGTCGTTTAATCATTGGTCCACTTTGTTGCTGACCGGTCGTTATGTTTCTACTGGTTGTGAAATCTATCCTTTGTAGTTTTTGATGCGTAGAGGGATTGACATGAGCGCTCCATCGGCGTCTCTGAAGCGATTTCACGTCAGAGAAATTTTCCTTTCAACGGGTCCGTGGTTGTGTTAGAAAGATTTCCATAGATATCGTTCCGTTTTAGGCACTGTTCGATGGATGTTCTTATTCTATAGCTTGTGTCAGTTCTACAACTACGTCAGTAGGATCAACTTTGTCGGGAGGTAGAGTCATAATAGATTCGTCTTTAAGAGCTCTTGTCTTTAATTTGTGTAATGTGCAATGGGTTCTTCGCTACCAGTGACCAATTCAGCTGCATCTCTGCAATACGACTGTCGCTATGACTTCAAAGCGGCCCTCTCTCTTAAATGATAAAACAAATGTCTGTATAACGTGAACAGTTTTCTTAAAGTTGCGTTGTTGCCATTTTTTGGTGGTATTGAATAGTTTTTTTTCCAGTTAGCATCATCAGCTTACTTGCCAAGAGGGAAACTGTCATCCCTCCGGTAGTAGATTTTTTTTCCTTTACTCGCTTCTACACAGTCAAATCCAAGCATCAGTAACCGGAAAGACGCTAGTTCGGCAACTCTGAGAGCGCCTTCGCTTGGAATCTGGAAGTTTCATTCTTAATTTACTTTTTCGGAAATGTTTAGATGGTTCTTAGCGTCTGGGCGTGCAACACTTGTGCCGTCAAATCAACCTCCGGGCTTTGCCTCCATTCTTTTGCCAATCATTTTTATGATTTATGATCTCTTTTGAATTTAGTTTTGTTGTAATCAATTCGGTGAACTATTTACAATTATGAATCCTGCAGAATTCTCTTTCCAGTTTTATTAATTTTTCACTCGGTTTTCTAACAGAAAAATGTAAACCAGGCTATTTTTCACCTTCTGGACTGGCCAAGTGTTTTCCCTGCCCAAGTGGTACTTACGCTTCCGGTTTCATGAACACGATTTGTACTTCCTGTCCTGCGGGTACGACCACTATACTTCCCGCAGCGGGTGGAAGAGAAGAATGTGGAAGTAAGTCTTAATTCTAAAGTCTGGAGGAGAAATTCAGAAGGGCTTAAAACAAGCCCAATTGTACTTAACGTTTCGTTGACCTTTAAGTAAGATGATTAATAAACAGTTAAACTTTATCTTTAGATTTTTATAATATTACTGGTATCTCATTATTCTTCACCGTTTGCTTTATGCATATATATTCTAGAAAATGGATCAGCTGTTTGTCTAACGTAATACAACTTGTTCATTTTTTAATTTGCTTCGTAGTCAAGGTCTGTTATCTGATTGTTTAACATTTTTTTGTCAGTGAAATGTGCACCTGGTACTTATTCAACTAATGGGGTCGAACCTTGTTCTCCATGTGGTAAGGGTTCCTATCAGACTACAATAGGAGCCTTATCGTGTACAGAGTGTACAGATGGAAAGTCAACTTATGGACCTGGGGCTGACTCTGCAGACATGTGTGTTGGTAAGACAGAGACATTGCATTCCAAAAATAAAAATATACGTGTTCATTATCCCATACTGTACATCATAAAACTCATGTTATAGTACTCTACAAATGTACCTTGATATGAAAATAATTAATATTTTGCTTATAATACATGTTGTCAGAGATAATTACTGAGTGTAAAATGATGCTGATTTACGATACATAACTAACACGAAACAGTTAACAACTGGTCTCGATAGAAAAAGCTCATTTTCTTTCCCGAGAATCGATGCTGTCCAAGATGTAGCCAAAGGAAACTTTGAGATTTGAGCAAAACAATTTTGCCTGTTTCTCGAAGGGCAGTCGTTCAGTGTTTAATAAGAAATTAGAAGATGTAATGCGAAAACAAGTCGAAAATTTGCATTTAAATTACATATAAGCGTTTGAGAGTGCAAAATAATACGATGCTAAGAATGTCGCGACACTGTCAACACGCTCTGTTCGTCTGAGACGGCGGTCATCGCTTGGGTAATGGTGCACTGTTACTCTCTGACGTCATAGAGTTTGCAATGTGGCTCAATTATAAACTTATAGCCGGAAACAGTTTCATCTTTTGATGTCATGTGACCCCAGAGTAACTAACGAGAGGGCGCGCTGTCGAAGGATAGAAAAAATTGTTTCTAAGAACGTGTAGTTGTGACTGTGCTATGCAACGAAAGAGATAAAAATCCCTGTCACACAGACCACCGCCTCACGGCCTCGTTGTCTCTTGACAGATATTGACGACTGTTCCTCGAACCCATGTAATAATGGAGGCACCTGCTTTGATTTAAAAGACGACACAATGTGTAAATGTCAGCCAGGTTATTCTGGGAAGTTCTGTCAAATCGAAGATGACGAATGCTTGTCTGATCCCTGCTATCAAGGTGCGACATGTGTTGACAAGGTAATGTATGGACAAGTAACAAACAAATAAAAAAAATTGAAACTTTTGAAGCAACCCCTATCCCGGCACCTTTTTGACAGTTACTAATGCAGCATTCATGCAATCCGGACTGAAGTTTACAAAATACTCTTAATGTATGGTCTCGGGAAAAAAATAACCAGTGTCCCGAGGGACGAGGGACCATACATTAGGTGCTTTGTTATATATTTAGACTTTCCCTTAAACAATCATATGGCAAAAACATGATGTTGTTTCCGGCGCGCGGGCAACAACTGCGCAATTGTATCTCGGTCAGGATACACTTGAATTTGATCAGGGGCACGTGACCAAGAATCAACCAATCACAATGCTCGTTTTGTTGAGGAAAAGTCTAGTATATAACAATTGTAATTAATTAAAATATATTGAAGTTCACATGGCAACCATGTGGACAATCAGACATGGTTTGAAGCTACTCTGATTTAAAAATTTAATTAATGCAACCGAGAAGTTAGTATTCAGAGACCCAACGTTTCGACACTCCTGTCTAGTGTTTCATCAGGAGTGTTCTAGACGCTGCAACAAGAGGTCCTTTTATACTCTAATTAGCGAGCGTATAATATTAAATCTCTAAACCATAGTAGCATCAAACCATGTCTGTAATTAATTACTTGTTGTTCTTAGCAGTTGTTTATTCACTACAAGAAACCATGAACCATTCCATGAAATAATTATCAATACACGTGCATGGTGATTGTCTGATTTACCTAGAGAGGTTGACGAAGATTTTTAGAGACTGACACCTAAGCCAATTCTCGCACCTCAAATCTAAATTCTATTTCAGGTCGATGGATACGAGTGCGTTTGCGCTACAGGATTCAGAGGGCAACGGTGCGATGTACCCTCACATGAATGTGGCCCCAACATTTGTCAGAATGGCGCCACATGTAACGTTCAGCCACCAGATTTTCTGTGTGAATGTCTGCAGGGCTACGGCGGAAAATTTTGCGAGATGAAGATTGATCACTGTGCTTCCTCTCCTTGCCATAACAAAGCCATGTGTGAAAGTCTAGCCGAGGGATATATGTGTTCATGCAGGCCTGGGTACGAGGGAGCTCAGTGTGAAGTTAACACTGATGAATGTGCAAACAATCCATGTCAGAACTATGGGACATGTACGGACAAAATCAACGGTTACGCCTGTATATGTAAAGCCGGTTTTACAGGGGTGCACTGTGAGACGGAAATTAATGAATGCCTCTCAGAACCATGTCAGAATGGTGGTCAATGTGTTGACAAAAAAAATGGGTTTGATTGTATTTGCAAGCCTACGTACTCAGGGGAAACCTGCAGCGAAAGTAAGACTTTGATTTTGTCTCGAGAAATTACCATTTCTGGTTACATCTACTCATACAGATTACTGTAACGTACTTCCCGTTTAGGGGATAATCGTTTAACAATTTTATCATGACGATGTATTGTCTCTTCGGCAGAGTTGTGTTTTGCCTACGACCTGTCATTTCCTCTTCGGGTGGCGACCACATCCAGCAGTGTAACCAACATTCCTGATTTACGAGCCTTTACTATCGCCTTTTGGCTCCGCACGGATGACACAGAAAATCCGGGGACACCGCTGTCCTACTCGAACATTGTAGCAGGCAAACTTCAAGACAATGCCCTTGTTATCCAGGATTATGGTGCTTTTGATCTCTACATTAATAATAAAAAGCTTTTCATTGGAACGTCAGCTAACGATGGTAAGTGGAACCACGTGGCTATCACATGGGACAACAATGGAGGCAAGTGGTTCTTTTACAAGAATGGACAACAAGTGAAGAAGTAACTTTTTTTTTTTTTCATTCTCTCTTTCAATTAAAATTTATAACGGCCTTACTTTAACTCACAACTACAGGGTTTATAATATCCGTCGGGTATGTTGAATCTGAGTATAGTTCATGAAATACTTGATGGTTTCTTTAGAATTCTATGAAACTTTTTTCTTCTGCGGGTAAACCCAGTCTAAGGTTGTAACCTTGATAAACGAAGAACCACTCGAAGAAAATAAAACTAATAGAAACTAACGATCATGAATCACTTGTAGATACACAGAGCCCTTTCAATCGGGAGCTGTGATCAAGGGTGGTGGTGTTATGGTGCTAGGTCAGGAGCAGGATTCGCTAGGGGGCTCCTTCAGCCCTGAGGAGGCCTTCACCGGAGATCTCAGCCAATTAAATGTTTGGGACAAAGTCCTTACGCCCAAGGACATCTACAACTTGGTGCGAAGTTGTGGTGTGGAGGAAGGGAATGTAAAGGCCTGGGCAGACTTTCGCAAGGGACTACAAGGAGTTTACGTTCTAACATCCACGCCTTACGCTTGCAAGTGTGAGTTTACGTATTTTTTGCTCTAAAGCACAGGGTTTGTATGATGAGGTTGATTTTACATCGTCATTTCGGCACAATAATAACTTGCTACGTTATGAGATGTCATGCTTTTCGAGTCGCTAATTTACAGGAATTGCTACCGGTACTTCTTAGGTCCAGCAATAGGGTGATTGAGTAAATAAAAAGGGATGTAAAAAGATAACTACCAAATGTAGAAATCTGTTTAAATCTAGAATAAATTGAACCTCTGTAAAAAAGAGATTTCTTAAACTATAATTGCCATCATCAATTTTTCAGTTACTAATCCTCTAAGAGACTTTCCTGCAAAACGGGACATGCGCCTGTCCAACAAAGTTGACAAAGTATTGGGAGGAAAAACCGTCGAGGAGTGTGCAGATGCCTGTATGAAAGAGAGGTTGTTTCCCTGTAGATCGTTTGATTATGACAAGACTGGAAGAACTTGCCACCTCAGTAGGGCTTCCTCTGATGACGCTTCCTTAATTCCAGGGAAAGGCTTTGACCATTATCAAACTAGTGAGTAATTCAATTCATACATTTCTAGACAATAGGATAACAACAAATATAATGGGCCTCTATGCTCGAGGGACGTTAAGGGGAATATTGGCCCGAGGTCGTGGCAGTACGGACCGAGAGCAACATGGTTCGTACAAAAACGACCGAGGCCAATATTCCTCTGTACAGCTCGAGCAAGAAAGATTAGAAAGTATCTTATCATACGTTACTCGGGCCAAACTTGGTTGTTCACACAGCAAATTACCATTTCCTTGAATACAGTCCGTATGGCAAAATAAGCACCAAGTAAGAGACAATGGTCGATCATGACAAACGTCCTACATACTGCGAGGATAGGAATGTCGATAAGTGATGCTTATGAAAAATGATGATGTAAATGAAGTTGCAAGGTTTAAAGGCTGGTGAGTTAGGGAAGGAAGATGTTATTCAGAAAATAACACAGACATATTCGGACAAATAGAAAACTGCAAGTGCTCCCCGTGGGATTCAAACCTACGACCTTTTGATAAGTACTTCGACTGCTCTACTGATCAGTACTTCGACTAAGCAATAGGAGACTCGTGGTAATTTGCGCTGTTGAACTAGTTTCACGGTTTAAAACTCCCTGGACATTGCGAAAATAGGAATTTCGATATATAATGCTGCGAAATGATTAAACGGTGATTTAAGTGAAGGAAATGTTACTCCATAAATGGCATACTAGGAGAAAAAATGCGAGTGCTCTTATTAGGCGTCGAACCTACGACAGTTCTGATTAATACTTCGGATGCTCTATCACTGAGCTAGATGGGACTCTTTACAAGCTAGGCCAAGAGCGAACTTTTTTATAGTAAATCATAAACTATAAACTTTAGATGTGGTCCTCCAACATACTTTTACATGTATTACATACTCTAGAGTAGCTTAGGGGATGTTTTCACGTTCTATTCACTAAGAGGAAAGTTCGATTTCTCTATAAGGTTGCACTGAGACTCTTGGTGTACAAAGCAAAGCCATTCCAGATTCAGCAATGACAGCTTCGTCATCACTTGCTTCAAACAGTCAGCCAAAAGTTGCGCGCCTGTTTGCTCCGCATGCCAGCGGTCTACAAGGTGTTGTGGATAGCAGAGGTGGTTGGAGTCCGCAAACATCTGACCAACAGCAGTATTTACAAGTATAATACGCTTTAATCTTCTTACGCTTGTTTTCTGAAATATCCGAAAACTTGGAGTGTGTTCGAGTCTCAGCGTTGTCATTTATAACAGTAAAACAGAGAAAAGCCATTGCTGTATGAAAACGTCAATCACTGCTTACATGGTTGGAATATAGATGTCAACGGTTTGCTTGATTTTTGCCCTCATTGCAGATTGACTTAGGAGATACATACAAAGTTACAGCCGTGGCCATTCAGGGCGGGGATGGCTTATCAGAATGGGTAACGTCATACAAGCTGCAATACACCACTGACGGCAGTGCGTGGCAATATTATGGACAGGCGAGTGGTCGGTTTCGTATGTATTTAAGCAACTGTGAAACTTTATGATAGGACTCACTTCTACTCCATAATATCATTTCGGTGGAACCCCGAGTTACAGCCACCTCGGCAATACGTTCGTTAACTCGTGAACTCGTAATAGGGCCACTTTTTATGGCCTGGCAAATCGGCCATTACAGCTATACATTATTATGTAAGAAACCCTCGTCATTGCAGTCACAGTTAATACGGCCAACGACCACTTTTGAAATTTCCAAAGAGTAGACTCCCTCAAAATTTTACCCTGTTTCTCGGAATGTTTTCTTCTCAGTTCAAATTCTGAAGGTCTTCTGTCCGGCTGTTGTCGTTCTCAGTTTTTATAATTTGAAACTCTCCTGTTCCTTCGCGTGCAAGACCTCTCACAGTTGAAATACGTACCTTTCGTGACATCCGTTTCTCTAGTCTTGTGAATTAAGACGATAGTTTTATCCTAATGCAGCACTATTTCCTATAGACCTTGTCAGGAAATACAGATTCCAGTTCTGTGGTAAAACAAGAGTTACAACCTTTCGCAGCCAGAATGACCCGATTTAGACCTCAGTCGTGGAATGGAAAGATAACTATGAGAGTAGAACTCTATGGCTGTCTTACAGGTAGTTATTGTAACGATATTATTGAATGTTATTCATGATACTTGTAACGATAGTGGCAATAACTATCAATAAATAAATTTAGAATAATGAAAAAAAAGATCTTAATCAGATTACACGTCTCTCATTTGCTTTTATGTCGAGACTAACTTGTCGTCAAGTAGGATCGAACGTAATTCCTTTAACATGTCTAAGGATAACGATAACCGATCAGTTGTGATATTGCATTTTTGCGGATAATTTTCTTAAATAAAACTCCATAATTTTTACATAAAAAATTATGTTTTGTGCCGTTATATTCAACTATTTTTTTCTTGCAGATCTAGTTCCTCCACCACCCTCCATAGGTATTTACAAATGTCTCTATATGATAATTTAACTGGTAGCGAAGGTGAAAAGCCATTAAACAAATAAGATCTACATAGATTTCCCTCATCGGAAATTCATTAGAGCGCGAGAATTATGAATGTTCTTCTAAAAAACTGTTGTTCAAAAAGGAAAAAATATTTAAAACTACAGAAAATCGTTTAAGCCATTTTTTTATATCGAGGTAATAATTAATCTTTTGATTTACTATTCTTCTCTTGCAACCCTTTTTATCTCAAGGTATCTCAGCACGAAAGCGAAGGCGCAGGTCTGCCCCAGGTACTATTTTTAATGGTTTATTTTTGTCATTGATATTCTTCCCCCCCAAAACCTCAAGAAAATAACTTTGTGAAAGAGGAGACATAACGGTGCTCGTGACCACTAATAAATCCATTTACCGGTATTTGGTAATTGATCCGTTAAACTGGTTATTTCATTTAGAAGGTTCATTACAAGTTGTGTTCCTTTACTCCTATTGTCCTAATTTTACATAAACATTGGACACGTAGATTTAATTGTTTGACCCGGTTCAAAGTAAAGGAGAAGCCTTTCGAACGATTAACTTCATGTAGATGTACTTAACCGAACCGTTCTAATCAGCCGAAGTTGATACTATCTGGCACTCGTTTTAATTTGGTGGTTGACGCATCCAATGTTTTTATTTTTAATTTGGATGCAGCAGAAGTTAACGAATGCGGTAATAATCCGTGTAAAAATGGCGGTAAGTGCCACGACCTTTACTATGGATTCAAATGCAAATGTCGCCGGGGATACGAAGGAAGCACATGCGAACAAGGTACGTCTATCAGCAATGAAATGACAAGCAGTCATTCTTCCTACAGAAATACTCTGGTTAAACAAGTAATTCTCGCAATTGTATTTTAAAACAATTTTATTCGCGAGGTGCTTTTGAATGGAATGCGAATTCAACCGACACAAACGTTTAAAGAAAACTATTCAACAATTTGTCTTTGTAGCGTTCTAGTGGTCATAATCCCTTAACAACACTTTCGGCATGAAACCTTTTTTTCTCCAGATAAGAATTTATCGTTAGCTTTTACTGAAACACTAAATCAATTATTTATTAAAACTTGATTATGCCAGGCCAAATTTTTTCAACCGGTGCGAAATTTCTTTCTCTTTTTAATGTTTTCTTGTTTAGCCTCCTCGTGTGGTGAATTAGGAGCCCCCTTGAACGGTAAAAAGTCTTCATCAAACCACAATCATGGCAGTACTGTAACATTTTCCTGTAACGCTGGTTTTTATCTCTACGGCTCAAAATCCAGGACATGCAGCCATGGGCTTTGGAGTGGGAGAAGAACTGAATGTAAAGGTATATGGCAAGTGCTATAGGCATCTAATAATATAGTAATATTCATGAGTTAGTAAAGCTATTTCATTTCATTCCATTGGCCTCACTTATTCAAAATGAATTCCGAGAACAACGTAGTTAAGATCTCCTCTAGTCGAAGAGACAATGTATACTTTTCATTTAATACCAGAGTAAAGGATATGTGCTGAATTCTTTGTGATCTCTGGTTCCTTTTGTAGACGTAGATGAATGCAGCAACGGTCATTGTAGCCAGCTATGCGTTAACACCCTTGGTAGTTTCACTTGTTCTTGTAACCAAGGATACACGTTAAACATTGATGGAACCACATGTGAAGGTAAATAAGTATCCAAAGGTTCTCCAATTACTGCCAATTTGGACTTAAACGGGAGATTTTTGGCTATTGGCACCAACGGCCGCCCACGTGGTTTTTCCCGGGTGGAGTCTAATAGCTCTTTTTCTAAACAAAGTTCAACGAACAGCTAAAAACAGGTTTTTAAAATAACAGATAATAGTCTATAACCATTAGTTTTAAATATGAACTCGAATATCATTTTTTATTCTTTTTGTCCTAGACATCAACGAGTGTTCCTTCGGAGTGTGTAGCCACAGCTGTCATAACTCACCAGGAGCATTCCGTTGCTCGTGTCCGTCTGGAATGGAACTCGCCCCTGGAGGAAGATCCTGCCGAGGTCAGTTGACTTCATTATTTCTGGGCCTTTCCTAGTCTTATTTCACCGGTGATAATCATCAACCAACGTGCAAATAATTCGATATGATTTGAAAACTGTGATCAGCCCTTTTGCTCCTTTCGAAGTAATACAGATGAGCGACGCAAACATACCTACGGCTGGAACAACATAAATCAAATCAAGCCCATGCTCAAGCATAAAAAGAGCACAAATGATCAGAAAGTAAAACATTTTATTTATGAGTCAATGAGTTGAAGGGCTAATAAGTTCAAGACAGACACCAAATGACTTATCTGACTACGTAAGTGAGCAAATGTGCCTCACGACGGTTCTTTAATATGCGAAGTGGCAATAATTTTAACTCTAATGTAACTTGCCAGCTACTGTTAATACAAATCTTTAATTAAAGATAAAGTTTTCTTATGATTTGGTGTTGGCCTATGTATCTGTATTACCCTCTAAAGCAAAAGCCAAAGACTCAGATGATGATCTTTTGAGAAGAAACGACACTTTTTCCACCATAGTGGAACACGAATGTTTTTCAAATGCCCGCGTGTCGCGATGTTCCAGCATTTGCGTTTGCGTTGCTCCTGTGAAGCGGTCGGAACTTATGTTTGCTTTGTATTGAGGTCTATTGGAATTCGGTTTGCAGATAAAGATGAATGTGCTTTCAACAATGGTGGCTGTGAACATGTTTGTGTGAACAGTTACTTGAGCCATAGTTGTCACTGTCGTGGAGGATATACAATTGCAAGCGACAACCGGAACTGTAATGGTAACTTTTAGATAAGAAGTTGAAGTCCACGAGATATGCATAAAAAGTGTAATTTTTGTCCTTTTTGTTCCTCTTTTGCAACAAGAAGTTCTTTGCATGAGTTGATATCGTGTGCACGTAACTTTAGCTTAGCATGTACTTTTCTATATGCATGATTGGTCAACCGTCCTAGAAAACTGACGTTTCGAGCGTTAGCCCTTTGTCAGAGAGATTGAAGGAATCGTGGGTTGTGTGTGGAATTATATGCAGAAAATGGAGCTACGTTATTGGTGGGAATATGGTGGCGAGAAGACAAGAATACCGTGACGATTAAGAGTGCCGATTTGGAAGATAATTTTTTTTTCTAGAGTTTTGCGGCTTTCCGACTTGCCTAGATGTAGGGAGAGACCGCAAACTGCCATATGCTGCCTAGAATGATTAGGAAGATTAAGGTGTCTAGCGACTGGTTTGGATACGTCCTTGGCATTTCTTTCTACGTAGCGAACAGGAGTCTTCCTGTTTCACCAATGAATGACTTTTTGCAATAAGTAAAAGCTATGCAATAGATGATCACTTGCACCTCCGCCAATGTCATTCATTGCATAACCGATGCAGCACCATAGTTTCTTTAGAAAGAACTTCGTTTTATTACTTCCTGTGCTCTTTCCTTACGTGACATGAAGTAGGCATAATCTGCCCCTTTTCCGTGGACTTGAGTGCAAAATAGTCTGGGAGCGTTTTAGGATCATCATCGTTACTATCATTTGCTTGTTTCTATGTAGAAAACCGATGTCCGTCTATTGCTGCTCTATCCAATGGCGCCATTACTATTACTGGTGACCCAATACTGGGTAATATCGCCACTTTCTCGTGCAATGCAGGGTATCAATTGTTAGGGTCTCAAAAGCGAGTTTGTTCCGCGAATGGGAAGTGGTCCGGAGTTCAGCCGCGCTGTAACGGTAAGAAAAAGTCTTAAAACGGAGTTTTCATTTCAGCTAAAAATTCTGCTATATAATATGATACCTACATAACACAGTAACATAGATCTGACGTCTGCCCTTTCTTCCTTTACATTTAGAAGGTTAAGTGGAGCCGAAATCACGCGTAATTGTGCTTATCATTTATTTAAAAACATCCACACGCCTACGTTACTAAACACGAGTACGGAAATACATATTAGCGAACGAAACCTTACAAATAAAGAAAATAACATAATAAAGAAAATATTTACCTTGACGGTGCAAAGCTTTACAGGAACTGAAGGACGACGCTGCTTCTTAAAAAGTGGACATAAACATCGATCCAAACGACTAAACTTATACAGAAAACTCTCTAAATTACTCGACATTATTACGCAACATTACGCAATGATGTAAACATCAACCACAATTACAAAATACAACAAATGAAACGTACAAACACTTATTGGTAATTAACGTGTAAACGCAATGCACACAGGAAACGGAATGACAATAAGTTTCGCGATAACATTAACTATTCAGTAGGTTACTGGATTGCTTACCTCATCTCCTAAAATAAAGTACTTCACGTTCGTAGCCGGGAGATGCGTAGATGTAGGGACAGTCAAGTACGGTGCTCGTCAGGGTAGTGACTTCAGTTACGGAAAGAGCGTAAGCTTCACGTGCAGTAGTGGATATGCTTTGGTGGGTAGCAACCAGCGCCTTTGTCAACAGGGTGGACTTTGGAGCGGAGAGCAGCCGAGATGTGTTCGTAAGTGTATACACGCTTTAATTTGTTTCGGGACGTGATAACTGGTGTAAATATTTCAGTTACGTTTCTTCCAAAAATTCGAACAAATTTTAACGTAATATGTAATTGATCTACCAACGCCGCGTTAAAGACCTTCGATTGGGTCGAGAACCTTGCCCTCGTCTTCAAATTATTCGTGTATCTGTTAATCTTTAATTGTTTGTGTGCGCTGTATTTGATATTTTTTTCGGTTATCAGGAGCTGACTGTCCCCAACTGTCTGCTCCATTCCATGGTCATATACAAGGATACCGCCGAGAAACGGGCAGCACTGTCCGCGTGTCATGCAATATAGGATACGAAGTCAATCCAGATAGTTCGTCGTTTAGAACTTGCCAGGGAGACGAGCAGTGGTCCGGGGCAGACCCCAGCTGTCAAAGTGAGCGCTTTAACGCAGATACTAGTAATAAATGGTCCGTGTAAGATGTAGGCATAAAAAAATAGGCCGGATCCAAACACGGCGGTTAAACATCGAAGTGTTAATCCCTTAAAATTAAATCAAAATCCTTGAGGCTTCTTGGCTTTTTATCGATAACGCGCGAAATTCAAACTTAGCTTGGATGTAAAAACGTAGAAAACGCATTTTTCATGGCTTTGTCGGTATCAACCTGTTGGCAATGTTAAAAACTACAAGACACCCGAAGGAAAAAATCTTAACAAATGGGGAAAGCTGATTTTTCATATCACTGTTCCACAACAGTGGGAAACAGTGAACATCGAGGGCGGCAGCATTGGAAGCGAAAATTTTCTTCCAATAAGAATCTTCTCAAATCGAAACTCGAGGAAACTCGATCTTAATTTCAGTGAACATCTCGTGTTGTACACCTGGCTCATCACACACTTTCATTTTACAGTAAATTTAAGAGAAAACAAATTCTCAGAAGACAGTAGAAGACAGTGGGGTGCTAAAACTGAAATCCAAAACATGCAGAACTTAAAATCAAATGTTTTCCGTTTTTATGCTTGACAGTCATAGATTGTGGAGATCCTGGGACTCCATGGCATGGATACCTGAACGGCGCAAATTTTCAGTACAACAACACTGTAACGTTCACCTGCCGTCCTCAGCATCACCTGGAAGGTGACTCCAAAAGAAAATGTCAGGGGAATGGGCAGTGGAGTGGACAACAGCCCAAGTGCTTGGGTAAATACGAAATCCAGCGCCTAGTTCAATTGGGGATCGGTAGAATCAGAGCCCTAGTAAATTTCCGAATATATTTTGATTGATGGTAGCTGAATCGTCAGACGTGTATTATTAAGAGAGCCATCGGTAACGAAATAATGAAAAGTGGCAGTAAAATAACAGAAAAGGTGAGTCTTTGTTGCGACATTAACTGTTCTCTTCACGTTTTTATTTCTTAGAAAGATCTTGTGGAAATCCTGGTATCCCATCAAATGGAATCAAGATCGGAAGTAACCATTCGTACGAGGCTTCCATTCAGTTCACATGCAATCAAGGATATACACTGCACGGGTCCCAGGAACGAACCTGTCAAAACTCAGGGGAGTGGTCAGGTTCACAGCCAACATGCCAGAGTAGGTCTAATATACTTCTTGGAACCAAATCAAATTCGTTGCTAAACCACCATCATTACAAGAACTAAGGTGCTGCTTTGGTATTCAGAATTTCATTGATTCGGTCGTGCAAGGCATGTGTCTTCGCCTATGTACTACCTAACATTAGTAGAAGGCTTGCTTACAATTTTTAAACCTTGTCATCAACCTTTCCCACCACAATTTTTTTCAATATTTATCCTTTTGGAATGAGACTTATCCTCCTTCCTTCAGATGGCCATTAGTTCACCCGTCATACTGTCAGGTGCTACCCTCTATATAAAATTGTTACTTACTCACTTCATGCAACTTCATTAAGGCCGTCTAATGTGTACTTTCAAAGGTTCTTTTTTTATGATCTCTAATATAATTGATTATCTAAATCCTTAGTTGTGAGCTGCGGTGATCCAGGATCCTTGTCAAACGGATTTAAGATAGGCAATAAGTTTACCTATGGCGAAAGCGTTATTTACGACTGTAATGCCGGCTACAAACTTCAAGGATCTATCATTAGGAAGTGTGGGGCTAATGGTCAGTGGTCTGGATCAGCTGCTAGTTGTGTCGGTAAGAAATTGCAGTTTCATCGAGTTTTTATTTTATCCTCTCGTTGCGAACACCTTAAGTACTTGCTCCTTGGCAAACTCTTCTCCGACGTAAAAGAGTCATGCTTAACTGGTAAATAGCTAAAAAATCTGCGTTGCGAAACTAATTAAACTAATAATACGTCCTAAGGAGCCACCTCATTCCATTAATACACAAATTCATCGGTCGTAATTATGAGAAACGTCGAAAAAATCCCTTATCAATAATGTAGCTAATTGATATGAATGTGAAAATATCTTATTCAAAACAATTACAAAAATTGTTTTCCTTTTGGGTAAGTGTACTGTTGGGTCAATGCTCTACATCCTAGAGGCAAGCCAATGAACGCTAAAGGAAGAAACAGACAAAATACGAATCATGCTTGACTCAAGCGTACATCTTCATATCGTTTCAGCTTCTAATTGCGGCAAGATTCTTAATGGACCCTCAGGCTCTCTTCAATCTACTAATTTTCCGAACAATTACCCGAACAACGAGTACTGTACTTGGGAAATTCAAGTGCCTCAAGGAAAGAAGGTCCGTCTAGAATTCGAGGAGCTTCGGACAGAAGAGAACAAAGATTTCGTACTCATTTATGACACCGGCAAGACAGACCCGGTCGTTGCGTTGAATGGCGTTAAGGACAAACCGCGCGCAATTACTTCCACCGGGAACAGCATCAGAGTCAGATTCATTTCAAACAGTGTCAACACTAACAATGGATTTAAAGTTTCTTACAAACAAACAGGTTAGTAAAGTTTTCACAAAGCGCACTGGCACGGCTTCTGCTGACCTTTAAATTCAGCCGTCACATCATTCAAATCATCACGATGGGTCAGGAGCGATCGGCACCAGTTTGGTGATATCCAAGTGTGTGCTTTATACGGCCGAATACGATTAACTCGTTTTCTTTTTTTTGATCATTTTGAAATGCACTCAAATTCATGGAAAACTACTGGGTAAATGTGATCATCTAAATAGTTGTTTATGTTAGGAATGGAATGGTATAATTGCCGGTGCCCTTACTTTCAGGTGATAGGTAAAGTCGGTCCAACCTTCAATTTTTAGAGCACGTCGAGCTCTGGAAATAAATTTCTCCATTTACTTGTGTAGTTACTATGCTTTATCTTCTTGCAGTGACATATATAAAAATTTTTTTTTCAGGCTGTGGAGGAATCCTGACCAGTCAGACTGGAGAGATACGCTCTCCTGGTTTTCCAAATGGTTACCCGCCAAACCTCAGCTGTATCTGGCTGATCTTTATTCCCGACAGACAAATCGGCCTTACTCTGAACGAGTTTAAGACAGAAAATGCTTACGACCGTCTCGAAGTTGCCCATGGACCCTGGATAACTTCACCGCTGGAGATTGCCTGGAGCGGTCCCAGTCCCTTGTCAGGTCAGGTGGTGACCACCAAGTACATGTGGATTCATTTTGTAAGTAGTGCACAAGACAATGGTATCTACAAGGGTTTCCGAGCCACATACAAGCCATATGTTGCTTATTCAAAAAAGAAATGATGATGACTGAGGCATATACAAGGGGGATTCAAATCAATCTAAAATTTTGTAGAGTTCGTTCAGTTAGTAGTTGTTGATAGTTAATAAATATGCAGAAGGATTCCTTGTTTGAATAGTTTTGAACTTTCTCTGGTCAAGTAGAATGGAACGGATTAAACTTGAATGTCATTAGTAGACTTAATCACTTTATTTTAATACTATTCAGATAACAAAAAAACTAAATTTCTGACCATTACGTCTTAAAGTCTTCATGATTATTGGCTCGTCAAACTGCAACTCGAACATAAAATAATGTAAGAGTTTCATGATCCTAGCGTTGACCATGACAGAGTCACATCCATGGTTCCCAGCCTTGCCAAGTTCGTCCGAGTATATTAGCATCCGTGGCTTGATCTATCAAACACAACACTTGAGACTCCACTGACAAACCACTTTCAGGTTCACGAGCTCTTACATTGGCATTCCTGTCTCCAAGACACACAGATTCCATTTGCTTATACCAAGATTGTTTCGAGTGCCCCAACAGAAGATCTTCCCTATCAAAGCATCATACAAAGTACATTGATAACTCAATTCACATATTAAGTTGTATAAGTCGCACAGAATGCAAACGCGGCGCTAATAGCTCTGGAACGGTCAAGCCAAAATCCCACTCCTTAAACAGACCTCATAACATATGCAGGGTTAAATCCTTCCAACTTCTTCCATGCACTGTGCACTTTCTGTTTTGGGTACCAATCTGCATTCTGCTCGTCTAAAAATAAGAAAAAAGACAAAATAAGAAAGAAGTAACCAAATGAACATGAATCAATTTAGACTGATGAAAAAACGTCCATATTTAATCTTAGCATCGTATTCGATAATCAATTATCTCCTTTGAAATGTTTGTTGTCGTGAACAAAGTAGTACGAAGTTAAAAGTAAATGTAAATCATGGCCTCTTCAACTCGGTACTCCAAATCAGGTAAAATTATTTATGAAAAAAAAATACAGACCTGTATTGATTCCTTGAGTCTTAGCTTGTTTGCGAGCATACACCTAAAGTCAAGAGTGAATTTATGTTAGCTCGAGTTTTTGTTTCTCTTACTGATGGTGATTTTCATTGCCAGTAACTATCATTCCTTAGTCACTCAATTAATCAATCAATTACTTTATCGATATTGTAATCAATTAGTCAATTATTCAGCGCTGAAATATCAAGCAGGTCTTAGAAAAGCATCCCGAAGAACCGACAACTGCAAGTGTCTATGACACCAAGCGAAACTGAAATTCTGTGATTAATAAATTAATAAATCAATTTTTAATCAATTCTTATAAATTCTTTATAAATTGAAACTATCACGATGTTGGAAATCACATTTAGTTCCGAAACTGGTCGATCAAATCGTGATATCAAAAAGAAGCATTTGCACAGTAAGCAAATCCTCTCAGTGCTGCCCTGAGCGCTCCTTAGGCTGAGAACTACTTCAGTTTCGTCACGTAACCCTTTCTGGCTGACTCCTTCAGTCGCTGTTGATAACTAAACCTAGAATCTCGCACTGCAAAAAGGACAAACCAAACATCATAAATAAACAGATTTCTGAGTTGAATAAGAACATAATTGAATTAGATGCTAGAATGGGGAGTAGAGCTTGATAGAAAGAGGCGGATGCTCTTTTCCACCCGAGACCTTCACCAAAGATTTACCTTGATACTGAATCGCTCATTAGTTTGAATATATATTCTGGACGTCTTTGCCCTGACGAGACGCGTATGTAAATTTCCATTTGTTATCAGTGATGATGCTGCGTTTTTAAAGGTCACGGAACGGCATGTATTACTTAAAAAAAAAAAGGAAAAAAAAAGAATCTACGAAAGGCCCAGATGACATCCCTATAGCTTATGTAGAGATCAAGCGGAAATCTCACCACAGGCAGACCACACAATGTGTTCGCGGTAAATCATTTTTGAGATGAGACGAACAAAATCTATATGGGTTATGAATAAAGCTCTGAAAATTGCATGTCTAAATTTCATCTCGGTCTGAATATCTCAACAAAGTTAAATGAAATGTTACTTGATTCATTTGTGGTATATTTTCGCCTTCATGGGCCGTTTGAAGCGTCTTTTTACGAAACTACTTTTGGCCAGAGGCCGTTTAGAGAAGAAAGTGAGACCAGGCTTGCAACTTGGTGACTACAAGCCGCGACCTTCTCCAATTAAAAAAATTAACACCAAACCACTGAAATCTCTCCTAACTGGCGACGGCTGTTGATCGATGCGATGGGCTGCCGCGGGAAGTTGCTGCACTGATTGGTAAATTATCACTTCATTATTGGACGAGACGCATATCTAAGTGTCCCCAGGCGCTCCTCATTGTAAAATTTATAAAAAAAACTTCATACGGTTTTCACACTTATTTAACATGATTTCATTTTACAAATAGAGAAGCCTTGACTGTGTTCTATTCTGCTGTAAAGCACGCGGGAAGCAGCTAAAGCACAAAAGAAGTGTAGGGAGAAATACGAGACGTGGTCGAGTGTTTCTCCCCAAGTCTTGAGTGTTCTAGCAGAGTCCTAAGTGTTTACAACAGAACAGAACACGGTCAAGGCTTCTCCATTTGTTTTACAATAAAAAATCCGTTAAATTCGCCACGCATTACTTTCAATTTTCAAAAAAGAAAAAAAACTAGAGAGAAGTCCCGGAAAAGGTTGGACATAGTACAATATGGCTGATGGCGTGACAGCTTTAGCTCAGATCCAATTAAGGCCTATTTACACGGTACGACTTTGTCGCATGCGACAAGCTTACGACAGGCCTACGACATGACTTAGGACAATTTACACGCGCACGACATTTTCACCTACGACATGCCAAAATCGCGTGCAATTCCACTCGTTTCGGCCGCGGTCATTGTTTCAATAATTTGCAAGAGAAGGAAAAGAACCTCTTCCTCGCTCCACAGTGATATCATATTCTCTGTTTCCTCATCTGAGAATGTATTTGGAAGCAGTCTTCGACTTTCCGGAGGCGACTTCCTCCGCCATTTTGACGCAAGAAAATTTCACCTTCCTCCCCTACTCAGTAGAAATTTGTCGCAAAATACGTCATTTTCTATCAATTTCGGCTACGATTGTCGCGGCGTTTTAAAACATGTTTTAAAATCCTACGACATTTTTCGTGACGTGCACGACAGTCGTAAGCGAGTGGTAGGTTTGATTTACACGATACAATTCGTGTCGTAGGCCTGTCGTAAGCTTGTCGCATGCGACAAAGTCGTACCGTGTAAATAGGCCTTTAGATTCTAGGAATTTTCTAAAACAGGTGACCGAATAACTACCCCTAGTTAAGATTACGTGCAATAAGGAAACAAACCTGCCAATCAAGAGAAGGTTCCTGAATGAAGACATCCATAGTGTCCAAGAGCAAATCATGGTTACTTCTGAGGGCCCTTAGTGTATGAATCATTACGCTCTGCAAAGTTCCGCTTTTCTGTAATGGCAGCATTAGATTGATAAATTGCTGAGTCAATCGAAAAGGCATCAATTCTGGCAGAGGTTGGAACTGCATAAAAAATAAATAAATCGATAAGTGGAGCATTAAGCATTTATAGCAAAACAACAACCACAATAGCAACAACGAAAACAATAACAACGTCGAAAACAAGCAAAATTAAACAGGTACAGATTCTCAAATACATTATACAATTTTACACTGTAAATCTCGTTGTTGAATTCTTAAATTCAAGTCAGTACTCTTCTTCAGTGGCATTACTTGAGTTTCGCAGTAATTTTCAGACGACCGTCAAAATGAACAGCTATTAATTTTTTTTGTTTCATTCTCCCTTCCTCCCCAACTCCAATAAAACAGTAAAGGAAGAAAGCTATCACCTGTGTTGCTGAGCCAAAGGCGTGACCAAAATCGATGCCAATCATCCTTCCGGTTTCCATGTCAACTAAGAAGTTTGACAAATGACGGTCTCCGATACCCAGAATGTACTGGCAAATGCACAAACAGGCATGTGAGCTTGCAAAGTGCGACCTTAGGATAAAAAATGCTTCAGGGGAGACAGCGAGTTGCAAAAAGGCACGCCTGTCAATTAAACGAACAGGAACGATTTTAGATTCATGAAGGTCTAAAGTATGCTTGAAAGTGTCGGACAATGGGCTTGTCAGTTGGATTTCATTGCTGACGGAAAACCAAATTAACGCTCGCAATTTAAGCAATCGTCATGACCAGACTATAGTATGTTACTACAAAGCGTGACGAATATTGTATATCTCACTACTTTCTTTATCAGAATGAAGTCCATAGTTGTTTGAACCAAGCTGACCCTGTTGTTTGAATGATTTGCTGCAAAGTATTTTCTCAACATTTAATATATCAATTATGATTCACCTGAGAAGATCCCAGGGCACCAAAGCTTGTTTCTGCGTGAAGCTTCTTTCAGTTTCTGTGCGATTCGCTTTCCTAGAGATACAAGAGATACATAAAGCTGCATGTCAATAGTGGGAACACTTCTTATGCAGAAAATGGATAAATGGGTGCTATTGATAACAAACGATTTCAATGGCACATAAATACATCACATTTAACTTACTTGAACATTTCGCCGTAGAATCGCGAAGGATTCCGAGGATCTCCTTTAAACTTTTCAATCCAGTTTCTGTAACAAGCATCTGCACCATTCCTGTTTAGGCGTGACAAAAACATTATTTATAATTTAATACAAACCCAGTTGTTCGTTAGCTTGTCTCGCTTACATGAAACAGAACTTGAATTTGAAAAAAAAAAAAAAATTAAAATAAAAAACAAACAAATACGTTAAGGCTATCAGAACAGAATGACTGTATTGTTCAAAATCATTGCTAAGCGTTTAAGTAAAACCATGGGACTAGAATGCTTGCAAACGAATAGCATCAACCTCTCTAAGGGACGAGGAAGTCAATCAAAAGCAAGTCGCAGACTGAAATTGTTTACGTAAACGTACGTTCCCATGTAGTGATCACATTCAGCTTTGGTCATGGCACTAATCAACACTTCTTTGAGTGGCTTGGTATTATTCATCCACTCAATTAAGCCAACCCTGTTCAAAATAAGAGAAAAACACTATCACTTGCTGGTGGATTATTTACCAACGCATCACACACACATTACACAAGATTCTGCACTGTTTCACATAAAGCTCCATAAATTCAAAAGGCATTACAGAACAAAACAAATTATCAAACCGAGGAGTCATGGGAATAACTTGGTATGTCCTGAGCTTTAGACCCCTCTGACTGCACACGGGATCGTTCGCCATGATGTCATTCATGAGTCCAAAGAGCTACCACAAACACAAAAGAAGGACTCACATAAGTAATTGCTGTAAAATGATACAGTATAGCTACATGTACCAGTCTCAGCAGTAGTAGCAGCAGCAGCAACAAAAACAGCCGAACCGACAGCACCACCATCAGCAATAATGGCAACATCAGCAGTAGTAGTAGCAATAGTATTTGGTGTAGCAGTAGCAGTAGGAGTAGCAGAAGTAGAGGTAGAAGTGGAAAAGGAAGTACAGCTAAAAGTAGAAGTAACACCAGCAACAACATGAGGAGCAGCAACAGTCGTTAATGTCGTTAATGACGAAATTTTTTTTGTTTCTAATGGGTTCAGGCAATTGCATTTACTTACTTGTTCAATCCTTTGATCAAGTCTTAAGTCCTCCCCTCCTTTCACCAAAAACATGTGATCTTTTTCATCATCCCCTCTTATAACCAGGCGCTTAGGCTTGCGAATTGACTTTAACACCAAAATCTATAAAATTACACATCAAGGAAAGAAATGATCCTCGTAGGTGGACTTCAATTTTTTGACTTCTGAAAACACGCGTAATGGTAATTCTTGATTTTACTAGGCCCCAGGCGATTACCTACACCAATATCTACATTCTTCATTCAAAATAGTATTATGGCAGTCACGAAACGTGTCCGAACAGACTGGACTGATCATTGAGCGACCCTGTCTGCTGAGGAGAAACTGGAACTAAATAAATGTTCCACAGAATATAGCTCACAATTACAAAGCAGTTAATAAATAAATTAAACACAACAACAACAACAACAACAAAAAACACAAAACACAAGACAAAAGTTGCTTCAACAGTCCTTGCTACAACTAACAGTACACTATAAGGCATTCTGATCATCAACGCTACCTTGAGAAATTTTACAAACCTTTTCGTCAAACCCCACAATCTTTACATGATACTCAGGAAGCGGCTTCGTCTTGCCCTTGTACTGACCTAAGAGTGCAAAATACTCGAATTAAGAGCATCAAACGTAGAAGGTGAATATAAAGTACAATCTTAACTCATTAAATGCACACCCATTAAATGCCTCTTGCCAAGCTAAAATAATTTTTTCAAAAGCGGTTGCTTTAATGGTTTTTCAAATCATTAATTTTCCTCATTAAAATGAAGCTTATTTTAGCTATTGAAGATGATCGCATCATAACCTCGGAGAGTCTACAGGAAATATCATTTTACTGTTATTTCTAACAATATAAAAATGAAGTACGTTATAAAAGTTCATTATAAACAGTTTTTAAGACGATGTTATTGGATTTCTTAGTTTAAAACAGCCCCTACGTAAATATATTATCTAAGTGGAGCAAAAAAAAAAAACAAAACTGTCAAAAAGTTGCATGTTTGGTCCTAAAGCCCTTACCAGGTATCTCCAGAGCATGCGCAAAGTCAGTTGCCTGAAAGCGAGATAACCAAGGGGAGTACTCCTTTAAATTTCCTGGGGGAGGGGTCCGATGCCTGTGTTTGTCCATTTTCTGCAGAATATCTTTACACCACTTTGAAAAGTCCTGATAGAGAAACAGTGACGTCATTACCAGAGAAAAATGTACGGACATTCTCGAAATACGTCATTTAAAAAATATATATTTATAATGAATAATAATAATAATAGTAATAATAATGAATAATGAATAATAATAAGAATAATAAAAATGATAATGAATAATAAGAATAATAATATTTCGTCAGATCATATCTTTATAACAAATGCTAAAATCTGTTTACAATGGAATCTGTAATTCGACATTTTTTGAAGATGCCGTATCCGTACGAATAGGTCATCCTCTATGCCATCTACTGTGTAATGTAACAATAGAAACTTCGGGAGCCACTAAAATTACGATAAATGCAATCGATTTATGGTCTATTGCATTTTGATGGAACTCGATTTGGACGGGTCTGTACGATTGCCAACCGGATTGTGATACGGACATATTTTATTATATATGTCGATAACAATAAAATTTTAAATATAAATACATAATCACAATAATAGTAATGGGTCCATCAATAGGGTAGAGGATCATCAGCCTTGATGTAAAATAATTCCGGCAGTCATCTTGGCGCTCATTCATTACTCGTACCAAGAGAATCTAGTGCACACGTTGAAACTAAGAGGGTGACCAGGATATCAACAGAAGGATAGTCTGGAAAGATTAGACAGTCACGAACAGCGACTTACTGATTGCCACACCCAAATTTGAGCCAAAATTCAAAGTTGCACGAGATACATAGCCAACTTTGATCGCGATAAATGAACTTAATAATAGCCTAAACTTACCGTCGTCTTAACGCCAACAAGTTTTTCGCCCTCTTTTCCAAAGATCCCCTGCACCTCGCTTGCAAATTCCTACGTACATGTAGCCAGCAAGTATAAGATCTTTTTTAATGATCTAAGATGCAATCGCCACATGCCTTATTTACATACAACAATATGTAATTTTATCTTTAGTAAACACCAAACAGGTGAATAGTGCTTTTCAAGCACGGTGAAGGGCTGGGTCGAAAGTGATTAGCAAGTAGTAATCACTTCTGAGCAGCCGACGACACAAGATCGCGCATCATGAGTTAAATTTCCGACCATTTTGTGGTACACTGACAGACATAAATCAATTGTCTAGTTTCAGTGTGGCATATACTTACATTTGAATCCTGTGGGCTGAAATACGAGGATATCATGGGTTAAACGGCAATTACCACAGTGATCAGATGAATGAGGGCAGAAGACCCTTATACAACTTTATGACATCGCTGGTAGCGCCTGTGGGCAATATGAAGCGAATCCTGTGTTCTGATTGGCTATCCAAGAGGGCAAGATGAGCCCATCTTGCCCACTCGGAATTTCCCTCTTTGTATTCGCAGACTTACATAGATCGGAATATTTGGTCAGTGTCGGCGATGGAGTCGATGGAGACATTCAAACCAAAGAAAACATAAACGGGTCTCGTGGGTTTATTGTGCAATTTCTTTCGCGCGTCTCGCGGGTCTCGAAAGTCATTCTTGATTCTAGATGAAGCGAACTCTTTGCGCAATATAATCAATCCTTTATTGACTAAGCTTGTTCAGTCAAGATGACTAGAAATTAGCCTCTTTCTTTTTTCGCCTCTGTATGGACCGAGACGAAGTGACCATTTTGCTGGATTGCCGAAAGCGAAAGTTCCGTCAATTAATATTAAATATTCTATTAAGATTCTTACAGAAAGGATCTAATTGATTTGATACTGTCAAATCAATAAAAATGTGCATTGTGTCTAATGTCTAAGTTTACTTCGTTTCTGCTTTTAATCTCCGAGAGTGACTGAGGAAGACACTAGTCAAGTATGTAAATATTCCGAAAGCAAAGACTGTCTTCCCAAAGTAACATTCCCAAAATCTTCGCGACCTTCTCGCCCCACGAAAGTTGTAAATCCTTCAAAAGCAGCGACTTTTAGATATGGGCTGCCAGAGATGAAGACCAGCCCTTTGGTTAGATATGACACCAAACCTCAATGATGTTGACACAGGATGTCTCCTATTAGCATGACTTAAAAACTTTTTCTCAATATATTTTTCTCATAATTACCTTTGCAAACTTTTTTCTAAACGGTCCCAACTCGGTGCCTCGTGTTTGCGAGCCACTTTTTGTCCTTGTCCTACTGTCCATCAGAAGCTGAAACATGGCTCCAAAGCACAGTTTGACAGCTTGTGAATCGTTTCTCTTGATCTCGTCCTCTAACAACTGCTTCATAGGCCCCTCGCACCATTCCTTTTGAAACACCAAGATGGGAATGCAGAAAGTTAAAAAATTGAGGGACAAGGAAACTTTTGATATTCTTGATATGAGGATTGTTGAACAATCCAGTTGATGGGCTGCGTTCATTGGCAACTAGAGAATTATAATTTCTCGTTGTTTAGAAATAGATAATAATGGTCAGCCACACGAGACCAGGCTTACCTAGCATTTCCTTGAAAGGTAAGCAAACAACCGAGTTACAGTTCCATAGAATACAAAAAGAATCATCTTTACAACGCCCGTGCAACAGGCTTATGACTATTAACGTCGGAAAACCCAATTTCCTCCACAAGCCCCGCTTTCAATGCTGTCCGAGGAATTTTAATGTGCATAAGAGGGTATTCCCACAATACTAAACTCAAAAGAAAATAACCACAAATAAAAATAAAAAAGGAGGCCAAAGTTCATTTTTTCCAGTACATAAGAGGTTTGGTGGTGAATTTTAAGCAACTGACGGCATCGTGCATAAGGGCTATTCCTAAAGGGCAACATGAGGTGAAGGAATATTAAAGATACATACGTTTTGACTAACTCTTGAAAAGATCAAAGTAAACTTTTCCATAAATTTGAGTGGGCATTAATCAAATTGAAATATATAACACGATACAATGTTTTATTGCCTGTATCGCACTTTGCCTTATGTCGAATATCATTGCGTGAAGAGGCACAACCATGAACAGTACTCACACGCTTGTAAAACGAGTGTTTTAAGCGGTCTCTTGTCAAAGAGACCGCTATTTGTATCGTCCTACCTGTTTTGAACTATCACTTAGAGCTGAGCCTCAATTGAAATTAAATTAAATCTAAGAATAATCTTTCAAGTAAACATTTTATTCATGTTTATCTCCCAAAATCAATTTTAGTAGTGTTTTTAGCCAGTTTTGTACATTATGTGGTCAATTGTGGTAACGAGCATGAAGGCAGCCAGTGAAATGCAACCAATTTCTTTAATCTCAGATTCAAACCTCAATGCAAGATAAGCATAGAACTAAAGAACAGACCCGGAACACCATCTCTGGGTTGGTAAGCATCTCTAATGCTTCTATGAAGTCATCAAGCAGAGGATGTTCAAGTGACGATCGAAGCCTGTTAATCATAACAAAACTAGTTTTAAATTGTACGATTTACAGCTGACTAGTCTTACATTTCTGTTCGCCAAGATTCGTAAGGACTATACTCAAGTGAAATCTTACCTGAATGTTAACTTTCATCGATAACATAACCTTCACAGTGAAAGAAAATTTTGATTCGGGGATTTATTACTGCAAACACTTTCCGCAAAAATCAAAATAAATGCCGGCGCCCATAGTGCCGTAATTAAAAACTATAAATGATGATGATGTGATATTGAACGCATAAGGAAAAAGGCAATTGTTAAATTCTTAACAATAGATACCAAATAAAACGATTACCAAATAAAACTATAAATGGTAAGGCTAAAACGGCACAAATTAAAAATCTTATAAATGTACCTTTTGACAGCCTCTTCGCTAGCTTTTCCTTCTTTGTTGTTTTCAAACACAAACTGCTCACTGCTTATCTTGAGCGAGTACCACAGAGCCTGCAGACAAACAGGAAATGTGTAAAATATCCAGTGAAATACTTCAAAAGTTCTTGGTCTGCCGACATGGCCCGCATTTGAAATAAATAAATAAAAGAAATCCTAATTAATAAAAATTTCTTAAGCAAACCATTCTACGTGCCTATTTAGCACAACTCTAGAACAAGTTGCGGTAAAAAAAGAGTAAGAATGGGCTCAGAAGTTCTCAAACCCAGTTAACATCAACG